AGTACAATTGCGATGGTTGCATGTTTGGTGTCCTGGACAAGGATGGAAATTTGTTGCAAAAGTCATGGACTATTGCTTCTTCCTGTCAATCGTTGGCCAAACTGCAACAGTATAAGTGCACAAAGGATCATCAGCATGGACAGTCCAGGGGGGCGGCCCTCAAACGTGCTGAATCTTACACGTATGAAATGACTGACCTGATCCATGGATGTTTTTCTGAGTTTGCTGACAGCATGAAACAGGTTGTCACCGATAGCTCGGCTCAGAGACCCACAAAACGTGCACTTGTTGCTCTTAAGCTTCCCTCACCGGTAGCCGCAATGGCTGCTTACAATCTCGGGGAGTATTCGGAGGGCAACTTGGAGTACTGGCGAGGAGTGATGACGAGCTTTACGTCGAACACCTTGTTCCAGGAGACGAGGCCCGAGGATCGCAAGACAATGGAGCAGATCCTCGGAGCACAGGCCACTCTCCAAAGCTCATGCGCTATGTGGGCGGCTGACTACGCGCCGGAGCTCATGGATACGCTTTGCGCTGTCAATGACAAAGGCCTTGGCCGCATCACGCCCGGGGCAACCTGTGGCCGGAATAGCGTGTACCTCGTCGTGAGTGACTCCAGCCTCGCCCTCATCAGCGGTGGCAAGAAGAACCGCAAGAGGGCGGACTTGGCGCAGGACATGAACTACAACCGCAGCACGAGTTGTAGCCACTGTGAGGTGAGAATGTGTTGGGGAAAGGACCTCACATTTCTCACGTGGACAGTGAAAAGCGCCATGAAGGACCTGAAGAAACGTCCTGAGTTCAAGGACCACGACTTCTACGTGACGGTGTACTGGTCCGGGAACGAGCTCGTTGGCAGTGGTGGGATCTGCGATGAGCCCGAATGGCCATACCGATGCGGAGACGGTCACTGGCCCGAGCTGTTCAACAAGTGCGCCAAGGCGATCGATGTGCTTGAGGAGTGCAGGAGTTGGTGGGGCATTGCGAACATCACGATCTTGGCCAACACCGAGGGTTCGTACTATATGCTCCCGCCCATCTACAACCAGTTCATGGAAAAGTTGTTGGATGAGTCGCTCAACAAGCACAAGCTCCTTCGCAAGAAGGAGTCGACGTTCTTGGTGTCTCGGCAGGACAGGCTTGACAACTACCACATGGTGGACTCCATCGAGAACCGGAAGACGACGGTGGAGTGGTTGTGGTCGTTGTTCAACGTCATGAAGTGTGTCGCTGTCGTTGAGTCCCACAAAGAAGATTTCAACAACGTGAGGTTGTACCTTGAATATTCCCATGACGCCGAAGCTGGACTCAATCCGTACACTTTGGCTGAGTATGAGGCGAACAGGAAGCTCACGCTTGAGTCATGGGAAAGCCTTCAACGTCCGATCAAGCTCGCGAAGGGCCGCATCCTCGAAAAGATCGAGGAAGTCGAAATCAAGGAGGAGATCGACTATGATGACGATGATGCACTCCCGCAAGGGAGTGCCGCTGAGGCTGCGCTTGGCGTCAAGGCCGCTCCGGCTACACCCAAGTTCACCGCGAAAGCATCGCCAAAGGTACAGGCGAAAGCATCGACTGCTGCGGTGGCATCGGATGTGCGGGGGGCAACCCCTGCCGGAAGCTCATTGCCAGGCAAGCCCGGCGGAACCGTCATCTTCCGCGGCCAGGAGTACGAGGCGAGGATTCTCCCGGGCACGATCCTGAAGGTGCCCAACTTCATGAAGGGAGAGACGTCCTCGACCGATCGGTGCACAACCATATCTGGAATGCTTCGTGGCAGGTTTCAAGAACAGAGGCCACTCGACTTCGATGAGAACTATTTTGTCGACGTCCACCAGCTATGTGACAAATTCAACAGAAAGACCCGCAGCAATATCGGGTACAAGACGCTGTTGAAGATTTTTGCACTCGATCCGAAATGCAGATACACCGTCCTCGCGATCAAGCATCCTTCGGCTGCCGAGAACAACCAGGAGTGGGTTGTCATCAACGTTCGTGCCAGTCAGGGACACGCCAGCAGCGTTGATGCTGATGGCGACATCAGCCGGAACCAGTACGCACTTGCGATAGCAATCTACGGGAAGTTTCTCCCGGAGGACGCACGCAAGGTCGGACTGCAGCTTTCGCCGATTGATGATGGCCCTGGCAAACTATACCATCGCACGAGCAAGAACGCAGCCGAGAACATCGTCAGGACAGGTTTGATCCCGGGTGGCGTTGGGGTCACGGAGAGTGGCCGCTCGCAGAGCCATTTCTCCATCCACCCGGTAGAGAGCTCATCGTACAATGCTGGAGTTCGAGCAACAATGCCTATTGAGCTTGTCATCGACTTCAAGTAGGCGATCGAGCTCGGAGTGGTGTTTTTCCTTTCGGAGTCTGACGTCATGCTGACCGCCGACATCGTTCCCAATGACTCCATTCTGTACTACACAGATGCGAAGACAGGTGAAGTGCTTTGGAGAAACGCCCTTCGTCTTGAGGCATTGGAGAATCAAACGACTGTCGACACGCTCGCCGCAAGGCGAGCCGTCACTGTGACTGCAGACGAGGCCTTTCAGACCGATGCGGAGGGAAACAGGGCCACAAATCCTGAAGAAGAGCAGACGAATGAGGACACGGCCGCCTCTCGCCCGGGGCAACCCGCGGCCGACACCTCAGTCGTCAGGTTCAAGACCTTCGCAATGCCCGTCCACTACACGGACTGCAGCCTCTGCGGCGAGGACATGATGCAGGGGCAGCTCAAGTGCCAGCGTTGTGGACGGAGCACTAAGGAGAACAATGACGTTCAGCTCTTCAGAGCCGCAAAGCGGAGAACGCAGATGCTTGAGGAGGTGAGTCACCGCGTTGGCAAGACGGTTGATCAGCTCCTCATCAATGATTTCAAGGGCTACGCTGATGTTGCGAAGAGAGGAGCAACATCCTTCGAAGCCAAGCAGATTGAGGCTTCAAAGAACTACGATAGCAGGGCCTGCAAGCTTGGATACGACAATGTGGTGGATCGGTTTGACAAAGATGCGACCTTTGCCCTTCGTATGGTGGAGCAAGGGCACAATCGCGACAGCCTCTACCAAATGTCTATCTATAGGTTTTGTGTCCTCCCCGAATTTCCACGCAGTTACGATCAACGACTTCTCGGGGTTGGGCCACGCTATGGAAAACGAGGTCTCCAGTATGTGAGGACTGTCTACGTCACCGGCGGCAAGGTCGGGGACTATGACGCCAGCCTGCTTACGTTTCCATGGCTATTCTCGTACAACGGGAAAATGCTGAGTCTTCATCAATTCGTCGACCAGGTCAACATCCTCCCGGGGATGCGCAATCTTGTCACCTTTCGCACGGCGCAGCCAAAGGCAAAGCGCCGAGGACCGCGCCCGCGGACCTGTGCAACCTGCTCAGCCCGCCTCCAGCTCCGCTGCCAGAAGCCGAAGCTGGAGAGATTGGGGCAGTCAGGACTGGAGCAGTCAGGACTGGAGCAGTCGGCAGTGGTCGACCTGGAGTTCGCGCGGCTGGTCTACTAGCGGAAGGTGGTGAACGCAATCGTCATCACAACGGAGCCCTTCTGAGAGAGTAGCAATTTGCATGCACGACGGATGTGTAATGTCCATTTTCAACGTGCAATGGATGTGCGTATGGAATCAAAGCGGGTTGCAAAACCTGCCGACATTTTCGTTGTTGCTCAATCTCAAATGAGGGGGGTGTGGATTCAGGTTCCAACCCTGTGCATGAGTGTACTTGTACATGCTCCGCCGCTACAGACTTCAAGATCACTGACAGCAGTGTGAAAAGGTAGTCAACGGTTTGCTGCTTGCCTAGGTATTCCCTTAGGTGGCCTAGGCTTGATGACACAAAAACGGGTTCCGTTGTTTCATCCCAGTGAGGCCCGATCAGTTTGTGAGGGGCAAGGGACGTCCCAAGGCTTAAGGACGCTCAAATCCCCAACAAACCAAGAATGCCCGATGGCTTGTGGCCAAGGGTTTTGAGTTGATCAAGTTTCTGTGCTTCCCTCAACAAATCCTTCTTAAGCTTAGCAGTAGCCATTGGAGGGGGGGATCCCATTTCGGTGTCACAGGGTCGCTTTCCACAGGAAAGCACCTCCTTTTTGAAGGCGTGTTTCGGCTCGTTTTTGAACGCGGGCAAGTTCTCGTTTTTGAACGCGCTTTTGTTCAAGTGGGTGTGAGCCAAAAGCCCCGAGTGCCCACTTGCTTGGCCTGTTATAACTTTAGAGCCTCCGGCTCCCTCCGCCGACATTGCAGTAGCATCCATCAGACATCAGGTTCTGTTCTGAGATATGTCAGCGACTGAAAAGAGTGGGTTCGTCCAAATCAGGGCCCGCCCCCAACTTGGCATGTGCTACCATGAGCTGGCCTTGAGCCCATCCCCCCCCATCCCCCCCCATCCTCCCCCCCATATTGCCCCCCCCCCCCCCCATCCAAATGTTTTCGAAAATGAGCCGTGGATGTGTTCGAAAATGATCCCGGTGGATGTGATCGAAAATGAGCCGCAATCGATGTTGAGCCGCAATCGGTGTTCGAAAATGATCCCCCTCCCCTTTGGGAAACCCCTTTCCACAACCATAAAGAGGTGTAAACCTGCAGATTTCCGCCTTCTCGGTTTGGGTGGTATCCAAAAAATAGAAAGAAAGGTAGTGTTTTGCGAGCGTTCAGAAGGACATCTGGAATGCTCGCCGATTGGCAGCTGTGGATCGCAGGGGAGAGGGTGGTTTTACCCTTCCTGGTGCCGTTCGGGGACATGCACAATTTCTACTTGCATATGTCGGTGCTTGCATGTGTGCGGAACGTGTCATGAAGTCGATGTTCTATGAATGACAGAGAGTACAGTGGCATGTGAATAGACATGTTCAAACAGCTGTTTGTGGACGATGAAACTAAGCTGATGAGCATATTTCCGGACCAGGTCGTTGATGATGGATCATAAGCATTGCTGCACATGTGGAAATAGTTTGGCATTTGCGACCCAAAATGCACACGGCACGCGCACAGGATTCCTGCACGAGTCTTTGTGCTGGCGCATCCTTGAAGCGAGCGCCGTGGCAGAAGTTCAGGGCTGCCCACAGGGCCAAGCGGGAGCTGGAGTCGCCTTTTTCCGGAAAGCCGAGGTTCCCTGTGCTTCGATTGGTTAGCTGGGGGGAAGGCTACTGGTAAGACGAATGCGTTAAAATAGATGATCTTCTGACTAACAGGAGAGTCCCCAAGCCAAGTTTCGCCTGGTGAATTCCCTTAGGCTGGTGTTTGAAGAGCAAAGGTAGGGATCCACCATTTGGAGCATGATGACTGCTGGACCAAAGTGGGAAAATGAGGCACTTGGATGTTATAACTTTGCGGGGTTGGGCTCGAGATAGCTTAAGCGCGATCTTGGGCCTGTCGTGGGTGTTACTTGCTGCCACTGGGAGAGAAAGAACTAAGTGTGATTCCACAGGTTAAATTCCGTTTCAGGCCTCTTGTTGATTTTCCCATAGTCGTTTTGATCCATGCAAGGGCGACAGTCTCAGACTGCTGACCGTGATTCAGAACCGCCACTGATTGATCCACCAGGGGAACCTCCCCATCGTGTCAGGGGCATATGAAGCAGGGGGCAAAATTAGAGGAATATAAGAAGGTTGGGGAGCGTGGGGAGTTTGGGTTACCTGCGGTGGAGATTTGCTGCGGTTCCTTTTTTGGTTGGAAGCATGGAACCCTTGCTTGCGCACCACCAACCGACAAAGCGGTTGACAGCCCTGGGTAAGGCCCCCAAGCACGACTCACCTTACGCACTTTCAATTCAAACCACGTCCGCAAAGTAATCATTTTTGTGACTTGTTGGTTTTCCTGTGTTTGCCTGCTAGTCATGGGGCCCGAAGGTCGTCAGCTTGTGCTTTCAGGTATTTGTGCAAGGGAGCTCAAGAGTAACTTCGCTCTGGTAAGGGGAGGGGGGAAGGACCTTGAAATGCATTGGCCAAGATGAATCGTTATGTGCAAACTATTGGCTTTACCTTTTGACGCACTCGGTTGTACAAATGCCAGCCCGTTTTCAGGTGCAGAATCCCTTCCGTTTGCCCGGCCAAGCAACCGGGAGCCAGGAGTCCGGACCCGCGCCGCGAAAGACGAAGCGGTCAGCAAGCTGCTGGTGGACTGGCCCGGAGCTTAGTCCCCGGTTTGCCGACCAAGGCACCGAGGAACTCCAGGTCCAAAGAGTTGGCCCATGTCCTGGGTTCAACCAGTTTTTCCTCTAAAAGTTAGGGGAGTCCGGGTTTCCGGGGTCTTACCAGTGACTCAAAGTGAAGCAAACACTGAGCTATACATTCTATAACTGGGCCTAACTTCAATCATGTTTCCTCTAAAAGGGGACAAATCGTTTTGAGATGTCATTTTGAGGTTGTCTATGAGCCTTTCAGTGAGGGAGAAAAAGGAGGGCCCACGAAATACGGACTGAATCCCAGCAAGTCGACTTTTGGGTTGGGTCCCCAAAGCTGAGGTGGCACCCCGCCGGAACGGGAACTGGCCAACTTGCAGGGGTTATGCAGCCGTTTTCCGGCTCCGTTTGGGCAAGTGAACAAGCGGGGCAATTTCGCACGTGGATAGGTTTTGAGGCTATTGGAAGAGCACTTAAAGGCAAGGCAAAAGCCACATATTCTCGTTTGGATGAAGCCTCCCCGTTTTGCAAAGTCAGTTCTTGGGCGCCCCATAGAGTTAGCTTGCTTTGAATCGATGCATTTTGTTGATAAGAGACGATCTATGTTGTCGGAAACAAACCCGGGTTTACGGTTCTTTCAAGGCTTAGGTCCTCTCGTTCTTGCCTGCCGCATGTTCAGAGAAGTAAACACGGATTGTCCAACAACTGTTAACATATGTTTGCACTCCGGGCCCGGGTGTATACACATATTATATATATATATATATATATTATGTATGTATACATATATGTAGAATGATACATATATGTAGATACCTGCATTTAGACGAATTCATTTATGTTTGTACTGGTTTATTTGCATGTCCATGCGTATGAAGCACTTCCCAGCTCTCCCAGTTTGAACAAGCGCCTTGAACGTCCAAGGCTGGGCTCTCATCCCAGCTCGTACTTCCTCCTTCGGGGCTGCATTTTCTACCCAGCGACTCGTTGGGCATCTTGCGGGGAGCATTCAGGAGAAGCAACTGGGTATGGGTCAAAGTTAAGCCACCAGGGGATCGCGGGGTTTAGTCCATATTCCATTCCATTTACGGGGTCTTCTCAGAACAGCATATTTCATGGTTTAAGGTTGACTACATATGAACCATCATCTGAAAGTATTGCTTGTAGTCGCCCCAGGTTTGGGCCAAGGGAGGGATGTTGGTGGGTTTTCCTACCACGATCCCCCCTTGTCCCTGCTTCCCGAAAACCCTCCATTTCATCCTGATTCATTTACTTGGCCTTAGTTTCTGCATGTTGTCAGTTAGTTTGGTGGAGTTCCCTTTCAATTTACGTGGTAATCATCCTTTCCTTAAGGATGTAGGGGCGGGGGGTGGGGGTGGGTGGGTCACACTCGGAGAAAGGGGAACCTAGCGCGGGGAACCTCGAATTGAAGAGCAATCCATGAGTTTGCATATGGTGGTACAGATCGCAATGGATTCAAACTTGACTTGAGAAGTGCGTTCTGGGTAAGTCAGCGTTGTTATGATCGAGTTTATGTACGCAATTTCAGTGGAACTCAAGAAATCCTCGCTTGTGGAGAGCTTCTTTTGGAGGACCTCGTTTTGGGTGCCAAGATATTTGCTGGGAAGTATTTGCGAGGGTCATCGTTGTGGGCAAAGCATACCCTTCCACCATGGGCCACGTTGGACTTGGTGAAAGGCAGACAGTCTAGGCTTCCATTTGATTCCATGGGTAAACCGACCCACAGTTCTTTTGACCTCAAGCATCGAACTAATGTCTCAAGGCTTTGTGCCGCAGCCATATGGTCCATGGGTATATGAGGAGTACTAACTTGCTCTTTTGGAGTGGAGTGGTCTTCTAGCAGGCTGCCATGTCGTCAAAACTTTTTACTTGGTCCGTTTCCCAAGGCTGGTGCTAAGGCAGTGGCTAGCTGGGAGTTTCAACGAAACGGGACCCTGGTTTCTTGAATGTAAGTGTTTGTTCTCATCAGATCCATGGTTTCCTCAGGTCCAACTATTGACGCATGGGACACTTGAGTCAACCTGAAGCCTGTGGCTCCAAACGGTATCCCTCATACCTGCTCCATAGAAATATGGAATGTCATTTTGCCAAAGAGGACGTTCGGTTTCGCACTCTGGGGGAAAGAAACGAGGCTGGTACAAAATCTTTCTGGTTCTCAGCAGGGAAGGGAAGGACCCCTTTCAACAGTCCCCGATGCTTTGCAAGGGAAACCCAAGGTTTCCAAAAGCCCGGAAGGTCATTCCCTGAGCACCAGCAAGTTGTCTCCAGAGGTTCTTGGAAAGGGGGGAAAATCCTTTTGGAGGGCTCTGCCGTTGAACTAGGACATCCCCAGGTTGCTGGGTGGCATTCAGCTTTTTCACCTCGGAGATGAGCTGCAGCTCGGTAATTGCAAAGCTCACTTGCTCAACGCCCAACCTTCTGACCCGTTGGCGTTCCAGTTTCCGTCCATTGGTCACCCCAGCCACGACGACCTTTTTTTGCGTTGCTTGGGTTGCTAGTGGGTGTGGCTTTCAATGAGAGGCCCGCACAATTGATGGTATTCCTCTTGTTTTCTCATCAAACCAGGCCAACAAATATTAACCTCACACAGGGACACCGCCCACGTGAGAGGGAGACAAGTTTTGGCGGGTTCCCCACTAACAGGGGTCCCTCTATTTCCCCTTTTCGTGGCGACAACCAATGAAACATCACCTTTTAGTGTCTTCTTAAGGTGGGTTTCCCTGGGGCGCTGCTTAAAGGGGAAATGTAGGGAACAACCAAAAAAAGGCTCCACCCCAAAAATGGTCCCGGGGCACCAGGACCAACCCACCAACCAACACATTTGGGTGAATTATAACAACCTCACGCGACCTCACCCCAGTGGTTTATGTGGGGAATAGCCCCCCCACCACCTCATATTCCAGCTTGGTGAAGTATTATACTTCACCCAGCTGCAGATACCGCGCAGCGCTCGCATTTGTGGAAGCAGACTTCACCCAGGGACGAAAATCTGCGGACCCCTGGGCCAACCCCACCGGAGCGCCGGGCCAGGCGAGCCTCGTCCTCGCGGGCCGCGAGGAAGCCGCTCTGAGGCCGCCGGACCAGGAGCCCAGCGCCTCGGGAAGTGGACGGTTTGGCCCAGGGCCGGGGCTGGGAAGCTCTCGTGTTGGGAGGCTCAGGAGACTCTCCTCCCCCCCCCCAAAATAAATAAATAAAATCAAGGAGAAACACACACATGTGTGGCGTTTCCGGTTGTGTTAGGAGACACTCCCCCCCCCACTTTCGTTTCCCAGAAACTGTATTGGCTGGACCTCCGGAGGTGCCTTTTCTCAACTCTTTTTGGAGAGAGCTTCCCTTTGAATCAAATACCAACAACTAAGCCTTGTTTTTCATGGCCACTGGAGGTCTCTGACATAGAAAGTCCCCCCAAGTAGTTGCAGGATTCCAGACTTCACCGAAAGGTTTACAACATGTTGCTCCGGGGTTCTCTATGGCAAGAGAGACTGGCCATTTGAAAGGTTCCAAGTTAGTGGCATGTCATCAGCAGAACCTAGGCACCTAGGCACCTAGGTACCCTGTCAGTCATAGGTGCGGCTTTCCACCCTTGTTTGGTGTTCTTTCTTCTTCTTCTTCTTTTCCGTGGGTTTGGGTAGATCTATGAAATGCATGTTGATTTCAGCACAGCTGGCCCCACGTGTGGCATGCGTAAATCTGGCCAGCTGAATGAGTCGCGCTCCAAGTGCACCCCACAATGAATGCCCCTTTTTGGTCTAGGCTATGTCAGGTGCATGGCACGGATTCGCCAGGTTCGGCGAATCCCCAGCTCCCAGTGCCTCAGCCTAGGAACTGACTCTGGTTCCATTTTCCCTATGGACCACGTAAATGGAATTGGGGGAGCCCCCCCACACCCCCCCCCCCCGCCCTGGGTAGGGGGAAAAGGATCTCAGAACGCTTTGCTCAGAGCTTTGATCAGAAGCTTACTTCAGACCCATCCAGGGGCGGATTTGGGGCCCCTGCCACGTCACGTTGGGGCTCGTGCTTTGGTCCCTTGCGCTTCCACAAACCAGGCAGCAACTGAAGTGAAGATGCAGCCTACCCTCCCCCTCCAGTTTTTTCAAAACTAAGCCCCGAATAGACTCCAGGTGCTCGTATGTCCTTTGGATGATTTAACCATCGCCATTTGAGTCATTTTGAACTGAGCCTCATTTGCTCGGGGCTATGCTTAGATCTAGAAGAAGGAGTGGATGAATGTTTGCATTTGGGTAGTCCCCAATGGGCTTCTGGTGGTGATATTGTCGGGTATTCAAAAGTGGTTTGTGTCAAAATGCGGGGACCCCAAAGTCATTGATTTCGGAGTGTTTCCCTAGAAGCAACCTGGAAAAAGAATGCCGTCAAGAAACACATACCCCCGCAGATTAGCATGGAACCCAAACTTGAGGGGAAACTCCTTTTGGGGGGCAACCCCTTTTTGGGTCTCATTCGAATTTTCAGGGAGTACGTGGACCCGTTTGTCTTACCCCCTCAGCTTTGGGCGGTGTACAGCGACATGAACAACAAGCCACCCATTTTAGAGGTTCCTATTATTGGGAAATAATATATGAGTGAACACATTGTCAGGTGTGTTAAGCAGAAATGAAACTGGAGACCGTTTGTAATGGTAGCATTGCCAAGCATTCATACTGGTATGTGTCAAAATCGGGGCTGCCCAAAGAACTTTCCTTCACACACACACACACACTCACACACACATACATTCATATATATATATATATATATATGTTATATATATATATATGTGTAATATATATATATATACACACAATACAATCATATATATACATATATATATACATATATATATATATATATGTAGGATTGGCGTAATTACCCCAGAGTTTGGCCCACATGGGCTGGGATGTTTTGTCCCATGGGAAGAGGTCTGCTGAGCCAGCGGCAGCCGGTGGGGTGGTGGACTTGGGACGTGGCGGAGCTGTTGGCGGCGCCCGGAGCCGACAGCTCCCGCTGGGCGCCGCTGCTCTACAAGCGCGCCTCGCCGGGGAGGGTGGGGGGTGGGGGGTGGGGGGTGGACTGCGAGGTGGGGGGTGGACTGCGAGGTGGGGGTGGGGGGTGGGGTGGGGGGGGGGTTTGGGAGGGCCCACATGCAGACGAGAGCCTGAAGGTCTGAGCTTGCATGAGAAAAGTGAACTCAATTGAAGTTGGGTGAAGCCTTTTGAAGCGGACCCGCCACGCCTGTGCTGAGGTTACTGGTTGTCCCCCGTCGTGTGCGTGGAGCAGCCGGACGGGAGGGTGTGCACGGAAGGCGCCCGGGCTTCGGAAGAAGAACTTCGGCCGAGAGGCCTACCCGAGATATGCTAAGGCCATCCTCCCACTTACCCTTTGCGGGTGCACGGTTACACGAAAAGTCATGTATGGAAGGGGGGGAATTCGCTCAGAGGGCGGATCCCTCAGCCTCCAACTCGACAAGCTGGAATGTCGAAGCGTCAGGCGACCCCAAGATCAAGTTGAAGAGCATCGAAGCCCTGCAAGGCTGGGATTTGGGCGAAGAAATTTGGGCACTCAGGAAGATGCCTTCACTTCTTCAAGGCCCCTTTTGTTCTGTTAGTTAGTTCGCGGCCGCGGCCAGAAGGCCTACAATTTTATCACTCCTTAATTATATATGTCGCTGAAGGATATGGGAAGCAGCTCCTGCGAATCTTGTGATGTCTTTAAAAAGTATTGTGAACAAAGATGTTTGGAGAAAGCATGTTTTGCGTTCCCTACCCTTTTGCCTTTGCAGGTCAGGCTAGGTTTTTTTGCAATCTAAATCATCAGCAGGCAAGCAAGCAAGCAACAGGCCAAGCGCATCCTTTGGCAACATGCAAGCGGCTTCTTTGTGGGTTTGCGCGGTAGCTAGTCCTGTTTCGCCTTGTCGCGGGCTTGATGGAAGATGAAGCCTGTGTCAACAGTCATAGGAATACAGTTTTGTTGCCTGAAATACCCATGTCTATATATATATATATGTATACATAGAGGCCTGCCTAGACATGGGTCCTTGTATTTTCTGCTTTTGGTGGCTCAACCATTCTAGCTATTTTAAACAACTTTCTCTTTGGGGCACCTCCGGGGTGACGAGATGTGGTGCAAGTGCTTCAGCCCGGGAGAGGCAGTGGAGGAGTCTGCAGCTGGAAAGGGTGAGTAGAACCCCTGTGAGTACAACCCACTATTGAGAAAGGAGGTGATTCTGAAACTGGACAAGGATTCCGTCCTTGTCCAACGACAAATTGGTGATGTTCTTCTCCTGTTCATGCCGTTAGGGGAGTTCGGACTATGGGCCCTTATGCAAGAGCCAAGTTGGTGCGCTTGGGGGCTTTTCCCATGACTAAGCCGAAGTGAGCTGTGAGTTACTCCATGAACTCGGGCTTCATACCAGAGGTTCACTTTGGTGCATTTTGCTTGGATGTTAGGACTTTAACTGTTTGCCAACTAGTGGGTTTTCCATCAAACCACTAAGAGTTAGTCACTTTTAGCAGGGAGCAGATTTCGCAACCGAGTTCAAAAAACGGGCTTGGAACAGAGGTACCCGGTGTGCACACTCCAGGCGACGAGTTTGCGAAGGCGATCTCCGAGAGTCGCCACCTCAAGGCGAGGCGCGTGACGCGCGTGACAAGGCAGAGGATCCCCAAGACCGAGTTCTTATCACGATAGTTTCCACAGGGCTCCTTAAAAGATACATTTTGCCTATTTGAAACATGTTGCGTTTTCAACACCCAAATGAAGGGAAACCACCATTTACAAGGCGATGTTCAGGTGTATAATGTGAGGATCCCTGCTCCACTACTCCAAGCCAATACCTTCACGACCTATTCCCTTGGGTTGCCTGGTGGTAGTGGTTTGGGGATGTGGTGAAATCAAACTTAGACTTCTGCAGCATTTGGCTGCGCGGCTCTTTTTCACAACCCAGTCATTGCGTGCTGTGATTGTCATTTTCAGATCATGACTGCCGTAGGCTGCAAGAAAAAGCTTGCTTCCTTACCAATGTTCATGAACCACAGGCTCTGGATCAGGATAAATTTGCGGGCGAAGCCCCCCCCCCCCCCCCAAAACAAAAGAAGGTATCAGACAGGTATGGTTACTTCTCTAAATGTGGGTATGTTCTTTCCGGAGGCCAGTGCGATGGTCTTTCTTTGGAGTGCATCAAAAGGGAAACCACAGGAAACCCAAGTCAATCGCCCTTGCCTGAACCGGCCGACTTTGGTTTGTTTGGAAGCCACAGGAGCTGGTTATCATTCTTTCGGTCACGCTGCTTCTTCGATACTCGGTACGCACTGCTTTGGTTCCCTGATGATTGTTGGTTTGGGCATAGTGGAACCCATCTCGCAGAAGCCACTGGGATGACTTCGAGTCTGCTGGAACGGAATCACGGTGGTTATGATCGAAGTGGGAGGAGCGCTAAGCCAGGTCGCCGAAGCAGTTTTGACACGAGGACCCACTGGCTCAAGCAGGGAAGGAATACAAGAGTTGGTTTTCCCTTCAGCTCCCCTTCACTAGCACCCCCGAAAAATGGCACCTAGCCTCAGACAAGACACCCAATTGTTGTTTAAGCGATGGCTTGAATAATCCCCCGACAGAGATGTTCGTCAGGCAGACAACAGTGCTGCGTGATGGCTTGAATATCCTCAGACTCAGAAGATGTCCGGCACAGCCTCCGGAGTCAAAAAAAGCGATGTTGCGGAAAGCCCGGGGAATCAGCCTCCAGCGTTTACTTGTTGGATCATTGTTGTACAGTTTGAAGTTCAACTAGTCCAAAGGTTCCCAGACATGGCTTCAACCGCTACACAAGTTGATTGGATCTAGAGCACCCCGGACAACTTTAAAGGCATCCAAACAGTTGAACCGCGGGGACAGCAGGGAGGCACGGGTTCGAAAATCATGGGACAGCTCGGTTTGTCGAATCAGGACATGCTCAGACTGCATTCCCCGGTTTCCCTTGAAACCAATCTCAAAAAGGGCATTGGGAAAAAGACTCTCAAGTTAGAAGAGCGCCAGCTGCCAAGTGAGCAAGCGCCCTTCGATCCCCATATTGGACTGCTGATTACTTGGTTTGCTTGGTTTGCTGAGGATTACGGTAGGGCCTTTACAACCCTGTATCCAGCTATCTTACAAGAACCAACAGTGAAGGGATTCTGGTTGCTGCTCAGGTTCGGGTCCTCGCAACCCTCGACCTTGTGTTCAACCACCAGCAAACAATTATTAACCTGTCAGAGACCACCCAACATGTGCAGACTTTACCAGTTGCCACGACTTGTCATTTTGGGCGCTCAAGCAGATTGGGTGCAGAATGTAGAGGCCACGCATGGAAGACTTTGCAGAAGGCAGACCTGGACAGCCTGTCAGGTAGTTGGTTGATTGAACCGTCCAACCCCCGCTTGCAAGCAAACCTCCAGCCACTTGACCCTTTCACACGTCTAACTTGCTTGCCATGACCGGCCGGGCAAATGAAGGGCTGCATGCCCTTCAACCAACAAACGTTAACCTCAACGTAAACACGTGCATGTGTATATGCATATACCCATATACATGGATATGTATTTCCACATATGCGTGTACATATTCAAGAGTTACATGCATGTTACATAGAACGCACACGTGCGCCTTGGTTTCCCAACCACTTCCTGCGGCAATGGCGTCCGCGCTCCGCTTGTTTGCAGGCCCGGAACCCGGTCCTTGTCTCCGAGCTCCAGCGCTCGCCGACTGGACGATGGGAGGAGGCAACGCTTGCCGAGGGTGGAGACTGCCTGGTGGGGCATTCCCTGAAGGAAGCTAGCTGTTGTTTGAGGGCCCGCCTTCCATTGTGACACTTGCTGATTGAGAGGGCCTATGCCCAGAGTGCGTTGTCCTCTGCCAATTGCTAATTGCCTTCCATCCTGATGAGCGCCGTTTGGGAACTGGCTTGTCCCATCCAGGTTTTTCACGAAGACTGGCATCCACTTAGTGGGGAAAACAGACCAGCCACAATCAAACTAGAGGTCGGCATGGTCATGTTTGATGATTTGTTTATGTGCGTTGTTGGAGTTCTGTTCATGTCCAGCAAGGCTTACGTGCCACGGATAGGGCCATGTTGTGTGTTCCGTTCTTGTGCTTTGTTTTGGTTCCGTTCATTCTTTTCGCAGAGCATTCCTATCGCAGGTGGTGCCGTACTTGTCCTTGTCTATGTCCATTGTTCCACTAAGGCCAAGCCTATATTTTTTTGGCTCTGTTGGTTTCCCTTGGGTTCCCTTCATTTCGTAGTTTTTTTGTTGGTGTTCCTTAGTTTTCTTTGGTTTCCTTTGGTTCTGTTGGGTCAACACGCGTGTTCGGGTTCAGGTCTCCAAGGGCCTGGTGCTGCCAGCCAAGTGGAGCATGGACTTCCCCCAAGACGACGGAGGCGCGAGCCTTGATCCGTTGATCCGCCTGAAACTCCCAAAGCCCGCAGAGAGGCACATCCTGCTGGGACATGGCTCCCTTTTTGAGGCAAACAAGTTAATGTGCAGAGGGGGGGAGTTTGTTTTGAGGCTGACTGAACATGAGACACATCTGAAAATAGTGTTTTTGGCGATTACCCTGATGGGGTTTTGGGAGTGATCTGAGAGAAGGGAGCGGTAGGAGAAATCACAAATTACTAAATAGGTACATTTTTCAGAAGTCAGTCTATGTGAACTCTCATATGTTGGTGTGTCTGTTTTTTGAGGGTACTGGTGCAACGGGAAACCCAAGGAACACTCTTCTTTTTCTTGTTTTCCTTTTTTCTTTTGGGGGGGGGGGGGGCGGTATGAACAAGACACCCATAACTTAATATCTATATATATGCACGTATTTAGAGGAATCCATATACACATGTTTGTGTAAATCTACATATGTACATGAAGGCACAACTACAGGTACCTCCTCAATTTATGAGTGGGAAAGGGGGCCCGGCTGATTTTTTCTGTGTAGCTCATGTTCCTCTGCTGGGTAGGCTCGATTGCGCCATGACAGACTGGCACAGCGAGAGCGTGTCTGAATTTGCGCCAGTGCAGCATCGCCATCGAGGTATTAACACCTCCAAATGATCGAAGGGGTGGCTTTCGTGCTGCGATTGAGGAACAAAACAAGTGATTTCGCCGGGATTTGGGGGGGGGGGGGGTTGGACATGTCGGCAATCCACAGTGGCTCCAGCCAAAGCGATGAACCTTAAGTTGATCCTCGTTCGCCCGTGTTGTTGCCCCTTGCTTGGTCTATTCAAGGATCAAGAGGGTCATTAGCACCGCCCTACCCTCGCAGACAGACCCTGTTAGGAACCCCTTCAACGAAGATTGGTACAACCTTTCCCGGTGTGCATCGGGCCGTTTGGCTGACTATGTTTGTTCCAGGCCAAACTCTTGACCTTCTGATAATGTCAAGGTCCCAAAAGCAATCCACTGTAGCTTCCAAGTCCTTTGGGCAAGTGCGTGTAAGCTTCAAATCTTGGTTCCCAAAAGAGAACCTTCAGAAATGAAGCAGCACAAATCAGGGTTCCAACAGCAATAAGCGCAAACATTGGTTCCAGCAGGACTAAAGCACAAATCATGGTTTTTGGGTGTAAATGCCGCACAAATCTTGGTTACAACAACAAACATCTTGGTTCCAAGATATCGGCTCCACAAATCCGGGGGCTTGCGGGGGTGGCATGTGCCTTTCTTTGGCCAGGCGACCTGAAGGCTGAAGCCTCCATCACGCGGCTGCAATGCTCCATGGCCCCTCGGAGAGGCTTCGGCGGGTTGGGCTCTGGGGTTCCCCGAGGGTCCTTCAGGCGCTGCTAGAAAGTGGAATGTCAAAAGAGATGTCCGCTTTGGGACCATGGAAAGTGGGCATCTCCGAATTTCCGCTGTTGGAATGTGGCAGTTTCAGTGGAATCCACCAGTGAATTGCATGATTTGAGGGGGAAATCCAGAAAGAGCCCACAAGATTGGAATGTGCTTATGTAGCCCCTTATCTTGGGTACCTCCATTTCGCCTATTTGCTTGCAAACAAACATATTGGAGAAAGGGTGAGCAGGTCAATGCTCACCCTTGTTCCTGGGCCTTTATGTATTACTTGTCGGGAGGATCAAACCTTGCGATTTCAGGGCTCAGTGAAGGGTCTTCATTCAACTGCACAATTGTCGAAACGGGAGCAGCTGAAAATGTGTGGTTTCCTGTCGGCTTTGGTCTCCCTTCGAAACGGTGTAAAGCAACGGAGGGGCGTGATCAAAGGCCTCCCCCTGGTTTTCTTTTCAGATTTTAAGGGTGCAAGTTAGCTCCTCGCAAACCGACTTCCCAAGCACATCTCATTCAACGTGGCTCTGGCTATGTCGCATTGAGTCCGAACGGGTGCCCCGTCAAAAGCTGCGGTCTTGCGGTCCTCACTTGCCGTCCCCACAAGGAAGGAATCGTGTTGCGCGCTTTCGCCAGGCACAAGCAATCCATATGCCTGAATTGAGAGTAAAACGTGCTCCGCCCTCCATACTCCATGTCTATATATATATAGATAGATGCGTATACACATAAGCATAGAATGCTTCAGAGTAGAATTTTACTTTATGTTGCCCGACAAATTATACGTTGACCATTCATATCACACCAGCGAGTTCGGTTGATGCTCAGATCAAGCGTGATCGACCGCCCCGTCAGCCTCGTCATTTTCGAAACTATCGCCACAAAGCACGGATAGCAGCAACTCGGCTGTCGTTCCCTCCCCCGCATGTGTTATGTTTGAATGATGTTGCCACTTGTCGCCTGTGGCAACGACTCCTATCAGGAAGTTGGTTTGCGAGGGAACCACAGCCGCTAGGCTGATATGAAGCACAAGGCTTTGCCGAGCCGTGTTTTTGTTTTTACAAGTTCACCCTGCGTTGCAATCCGTGTGAATGCGACCTCCGTCAACTGAGCAAGGCGATAGTTCCTGGTGTGCTCCTGGAGGTCTTTCCGGGTTACCCTTGCTTCAACGGTTTGTTCGTTTGTTCGCGTTTATTGAATTGAGCAACGCCACACAGGATTCAGGACACACTTATTCGCGGCTTGCCCCGATCCGTTGAGGGCCCCCAAATGTGGTTCCGCGCTTGTTTGCACGCAGCAAACCTGGGTGTGTCTCCAATGCGCTGAGCCCAAGCCAAATATATTAGCCATGCGCTGCTGGGTATTCGCCACGAGCAAACTGGTGCTGTTTTCTCCTTTTCTTTGACGAGATGCCTTGTCAGAGCAGTCGGAAGTTGGATCCGGCCAAAATGGCTCGGATAAGAAACATGTGTCCTTTCGACTTTTTGCTTCCCTGGAGGAAAGGCAAAGGCTCCCCTGAAATTACAGGGCAGGGGTTTTAACACTCATGGGGGAGGTGTCTCTATTTTTTCCAGACTGCCAAAATGCAAGTTCTTGGCCCCTGATCCCATGGCTGCCCCCTCGGATCAAGAATTTTGCCAGTCAAGTCTCCTTTGTCCTCAAAAAGGCTCCCTAAACGTGCTTGTTTTCCTCCTTGAGTTTCGGCTTGCCCGCCTGTTTGACTCAGTTGCCCAAAGTTCTTCAACCTTTGACCTTTTGTTGACTTTTGGCCCATATTGCCACATTGGCAATCTGTCCTTCCGGGAGAGCCGTGATGGGTCCCCTTCCAGGCTCGTCAGGGAGAATTCGAAGGCGAAGTGGTCAATTCCCTAGGCGTATGGTGCCTTCGTCTTAGGCAGGGAATCTGTTGAACCTGGCCCCCATTTTTGGACAACCCTACCCTCTTTGCTGCACCTAGCTTTGGGTATGATTCCTTTTTGGTCGGAGCCTGAACCCCTTGACATCCAGAGGACTTGTGCAAGTGAGTCGGTTGCGCTTGGTTGGTTCAATAGCACATGATTCTCAGTTTTGCCTAGAGGAACCAAAACCGAAAAGGAAACCACAGCGGACCATTCTGCCAAACCTGAAGGTGACAGGCAGTGATAGATGGTTTGGTGGTTTGGTGGTTTGGTGGTTTGGTGGTTTGGTGGTTTGGTGGTTTGGTGGTTTGGTTCTTGTTTTGGTAGTTCCCTCAGACCTGTAGTGAAGCCTGCCCAGTCACCGAACCCTCCCAAGGAGCAGGTGTTGCAGCGAGAGGGTCTAGACGCTTGGTGGCGCCAGGCAAGACGGGCGAGCGAATCCGCGGGACGGGAAAGTGGGGCTCCATCCATTTCACCCGGTTTTTGTGGGTTGACCCATGGGTTGCTGCCAGATCTGAAATGTCTTGCTGGCTCCCCGCCCTCCGGCTCCTTAGCTTTTTAGCCTTTTGGAGTTTAGCGGTAGTTTCCATTTAGCCCACTATAGAAGTTAAACGTTTAGCAGGGGATCTGAAAACAGCCCAGATAATGTATGATCTTGTTTGGCGTAAAGCTCCACAGCTGGGCCGAAGAGGGAGGGTTTGGTTTCTGAAGCTATCGCCCCTTCTTCGTAGACTGCCCCAACACACACGCCTCCGTGTCGTGGGTGTTTGTGGCGTCTATCATTAATTTTGACTGACATTTCGCAAGAGCACCAGCCCATTGACCCAGGGCTGGACTCGCTTCTCCAGTTCACTTTCCCACAATGCAGAAATGTGAAGGCAACGGTTGTTGTGTGACACCCTGAGATGAATTGTCGCATGATCCCAGTTTGCCACAGGACCCAAGTTGCTGGGCACCTTATTTGACCATTTCCAAGTTTCTGTTTCGCGGATAGGCGAAAGGGTCGCAGGGCCGCAGCTTCTGACTTCAGCCAGAATTGGACAAACAATCATGCAGGGCCTCACCACATGTTCCCCCAAACATGCAGCGACCCCCTTTCAGACAGATCGTACCCCAAGCCTGCGCCACCCTAATTGAACCCCTCGGCAGCGTCTCGGTTGGCCCTCTCTATATGCCTCTCCCTTGCGGGGCCGGTGGGTCTTGCAATGTGTTGCACCTGGGCCGTGCTTGCAAAGGTGTCCCCACCCCCTTCAAAATGGAACTGGGGGCGGGGGGTGACCACAGAAATTCCATTTATGGTTTCCATTTTCCCTGTTGAAGACTAAATAAATGGAATTGGGGGCCCCAACCCCCCTCCCCACCTCAACACGGAGTCTGTGGGTTCCAAGTCTGTTTGCGGGGGCGGCTTTTTTTTCGCTTACAGCCCGGGTGGGATGCAGCCACCGAATGCCCTTCGGCAGGTGGATAAGTTGGAAACCTTGGCCGTGGACACCGAGAAACGCTCCGCCCAGGCCCGGGCTCTGAGCGGGGCAGAGGGACGCAGCGGGCTGTAATAGGTACCAAATCCCTTAAGGGGCCTCTTGTTTTCGGGGCCTTCCAAGCCGGAAGAAGCAGGAAGCATCAGGAAAAACAGGAAAAACAGCACTAAACATACAACAGCTAGAAACGGAGCAGCCTTCGAATGTGCGGGTGTTATGGGGTTTAGGAACCGGTTCCAGCGCAAAAACGAGGGAGTAGCCCATGATGGAGGTCCTGCTTCGCTTCGCATCCAACGCTTATTTCAGGTTCTGGAGTTGTCTTAGCCTTTTTTTGTGGCCATGTTGGTGTCTCACATGCGACCTAAGCATGGCTTTTGCCCACTCCTGTACTTAGCAGGAGGGATGCCAGGCCGCAAGGTCGTGCAGCTTCCGTTTTCACAAATTGATCTTTTGGGACCTCTCCAGTTAGATGTCAGAACATGGGAAACCAAAAGGTGGCAAAGCTCATAAGGCAGGTAGAAGTCGGCAAAGGATGGACAAGGCCTCAATGATCTGCGACTGTTTTCCGTCCACAACATCGCAAGATGCCTTTTGCAAGCGACGCCATTTTCCATCTTTGGTAACGCGCATCCCCACATCCGAAACCCCAAACCCAAAGCCCCCAACGCCGCAAGTCAACTTTGACCCCTAAATCCAACAGCCAAAACCAGGCGATCCAAAACCACTCCCGGCGCGGGAAGCTGAGGCCCAGGACCAGCGGGCTGCAACTCTTTGGTGTCCTCCTGCGGCTGTGCGGGCGCTGGAGGGCGGCTGGGGGACTCGGGGCCAGCGCCTTCCCAACGAACATTGGGCCAAGAGGAAAATCGCTTTCCGACAAAGGCCTGCTCTCTCCATGGGGTGCTTCCAATTTGGCATTTAAAGCTTGACAAGGAATATTATGCTCTTTGTCTGAGTAGATCGTAAAAACGGGGGTCTATAGGTGGGCTGGGCTTGGAATCCCAGTGTCAGAAGGAGCTAGGACCGCTTGAAATTGTCCCAACCTTCTCCAATCCTCATTCATAGAGATGAAAACGATTTGACCTCAATTGGGCTGAAGGTATTCATAGGTATTCCCTGCCTGTCCCCACGCAAAAGCGCCGCACAAAACAGTTTAGTTGCTAGGACAAATCAGATTCACAAGGGTAGAGACTTGGCAACAGGTCTCTTGGGCTTCCCTTTGCAGGGGACCAACTGTCTACAGTAACCTGGCACAGGGATGAAACAGGTGTTAGCTCCAACAAGGCATTGTCTTTATGCCATTGCCTAGTGGCAAAACGGACCCTCCATGGCCTCCAAGCGGGACAGTTGGGTTTTTCGGCAACCCAGCCCCCTCTATGTCCTCCATACAGACCACCCTGAACATCCAGGAGCCCAACGAAAAGGTCAGATACACATATATAATTACTGGGTCAACTTTCGGGACCATCTTACATCTTTGCCCTTGACTAAATGATGAGCAAAGAAAATGTTTAAATCCTAGGTTTAGGTTTAAAAGTTGACCAAGTTTATATATACATATATGATGATATGTATATATATATATGTATGTTTACATGTATTTCTATTATATATGCATTTCCCTGAGCAGGAGGCCCACAACTACAGGCGACCCATTTTGCTACCGCCGCTCAAGCTGACCCCAACAAACCTTCGCGCTGCTCCGCGCGCCCGGGTTTCGTCGGCTGAGACCTGGCGCACGCCTTGACGGCGCGCTGGGCGCAGTGCGCCACGGAGGAGGAGCTCTGCGACGCCAAGGCGGCGCTGACGCTGGGACCAACCAGACCCGGACATCCGGGCGGTCGAGCGGTTGGCGTGCAGGTGCTGAAGTGAATGTGTGAAAAAAAGAGAACCTGTTGGTTTTGCAGGGGATCGATATGTTAAAAAAAAAAAGCGATACATAAACCTGTGGGTTTTAGAGCGCAAATGGAGGTCGGTCGGAGTTTCGTTCCAAGATGTTGTCAAGGGAGCCAGCTCACACAGTGGTTTCAGGTAACCCTTGGTGGTTTGGCAAGTTTGGCGATATTGATTACCTCACATGCCCAAGGCGATGACTTTTTATCCGACTAAACATGGATTTAAAGGGTGGATATCAACCTGGTAGAAACCTGGGGTTGCTTCGGAAGATGAAGGATCCTCTCTTGCCCCTCCTCAATGGGGGACACCCTATGAATCAACTCGCCGAACATCATCCGGGGTCGACATTCACTCCTTGATGTCACATCCTTGATGAGGGCAGTGGGGAACCTACCAAGGCTTCACAGTTTCATACAGGCCCCGTCGGAGCAAGCAGAACCTGGCAAAACGTCCACCATACATTCAGAGCTTGTAATTTGAATGTGAAATCCCCTTGACTCATGGCTATTGAGGATAAGCCGCCTCGCGGATGCCCCGAGCCTCACAGAGGAGGTGTGACTTGGCCTCGGTGTGCGGGCCCAGTTATTTGTGGAATCCGCACCCTCCAAAATGGCTCGCCCACAGGTATTCTTGTTTTTGCTGGCGGCTCCCTTGACAGCCCACAACGGGTTGAAGCCCTTGTTGTGCCCGAAGGTCACGTGGCAAGCCATAGGATATAGGATAGGTTGAGGAATGTCTGTTCCATCAGGGAAGCATTTTGGGGTCGTGAATTCACCTTTCGGCCTCTTTTTGCAAATGAAATGGATCGCTTCCCTTAAACATGTCTTGCTCAAAAGTTGCATTTTGAACACCTTGTTTTGCAAATCGAAAGGGTCCCGCCCCTTTTAAAGTTCTTACTTAAAAGTTGCATTCTGAAGAATTGGTTTGGAAATCAAATGGGGTCCCTCTTTCCCAATTGGAACCCAATTCTCAACAACGCAATCTGAAACAGTTCTGGCCAAAAACCGGAGGAACCCAACAATAAAAACAGCTCTCATTATTCGGGGGACAGGATTATTCCCTCAGACTTGCCTGAACCCTCCTGGTTGGACTCTGCAACAGCAACATCATGCTTTGGAGGCTCCTGCACCAAGGCTTCCTGAAAAAGGGACCAGCAACCCAACAATTGAAAGGCATTCCCCCTTTGGTTGCTTTTCAAGTTTGTCATCGAGTTTCCCTTCAAAAAGCAAAATTTAGATGGTTGAATTCGTGTTGGCCAATGTGTTCTGCAGCATGCCCATTGCCGCGTAAAGGGCCCCCAGGGAGTTGCGGACCCTCTTTGTCAGGGGCTCGACCTGCTTTTTCCCCTGGTCTCGTTCGAAGTAAGGAAGCACAGCTGAGGAATGTTGGTTTACACTCATTCGACTTCCCTAGTTGGCCAAGGTGTGCAATGCCCTAGGCTCCAGCCACAATTCAACTTCTCCACCTTCATCCAGAAACTTGAATCAGAACAATGCGTTGATTGATATGGTTCACTCAAGCAACCATCCACGTCCTTGTGGCATGGTTCATTCCAGGTTCCCCTGTTGTAGAGCTGTGCAAGGCGGTTCTGCCAGCCAAAAGTTGGTAAGCCTTTCACAGGAGCCTTAGAATGCCCGGGGAAAGCCATTCGCGGGAAGCTTACAAAATGTAACAAAGCCCTGGTGGTTCCGCTCGCTTGCAAAAGACACTCATGTAGCATCCTAGAACCCGTTTTGGTAGAACCCATTGAACGGGGCACCCAAACTAGGTCCCCCAGTAGTGCCCTTTTACCCTTTTTGGGGGAGGGTTCCCCTAAAATAGACTACAGAAAACAAATCGGGCACCCTTATTCCAAGCTCTCTACTGGAGGACCTAGCAAACGTTTACCAATGTCAGGGTGTGAAGATCTCCTGGCTGCCAATTCCATTGGCTCTCTTTCAAAGGGTTCCACTTAATGTCCCCACTTGGGGATGGAACCCACAAGGTCGTTTTCGCTTCCCTTGGTTCGCCTTCCTTAAGCCCACGCCTCTTACCCCCCCCCCCCCAACAAAAATGAGAGGAAGAAGAAACAAGTTGGGTTTCCCCAAACCAGGGCATTCGCACCAAACAAAAGCACACCACACGCACAGATACAAACAGCCCGCAACATGGGCCCGGCGTCCGAGCGAATTTGGCGAAAAAACGCCGCCACCGACCGCGGATCCGTCGCAAGGATCCTGGGGCTACTGGAGCTCAGGAATGGCAGGCCAGGGTTGGCTTGGGGTGTTTGGCTTTGGGTAGTTGTGTGAGGATAGCTTTGAAGAAAAATACGTGCAGAGCGATCTCCACTTTTAAAAGGTCCCCCTGTTACACAGACATGCCAATATGAGATGATTTCTCAAAAAGAAATCGAGACGGGGTGGATAGTTTGTTGTTTACGATGTTTACTTTAGCTAAAGAAGATGTTATGGCATTCAGTGCTGAAGGTTGTTTCCTATTGTTGCGACCCTTTTTCTAACCCCCAGCATCTGAGGTTTGATCAGAAATTGTCCGTGTCAGACTTACTTGACTGCTTTGCAAGCAACGGCCCTTGCTGGCGTCTTTCATTGTTCTCCGCAGCCAACAAACCGTAGTTGTCGGATCCGTTTGGCCAAGATGTGTTTATGCTCAAGTTGAAGGGACTTCAGGGGACTCACCCACTTTCAACCACTACCAGGGGACTGACCAAGGAGTACCATCTTGCTATGTGCAGACTGTGGGAACAGCAATGTGTTGACCGCGGCACATCTTAAATATCACAGAAAGGTGGTTGGTCTCAACGGAGCAAGTACCCTCATAGAAGAAGACCAGTTCATTTACGCGCATTCATGTTGCAGGCTCGTAGCATGGCTATGCCTTTGTTGAAGCAACTGTGTCCTTTAAAGGGGACCAGGGGTGGATCTTTTAACAGAGGTTAAATGTTGACCCGGGGCTTACGGAGATAGCGGACGCCGGATCTCGGTCTTTGCAGTCAACCAGAGGTTTCTAAATCCTATGCTCTCACCATATGTTTCACATGCGTCCATTGGTTGCATTCGGGATCCTGGCCAGGGATTTGAAAGAGGAGAAATGTAGTTTGGGAGGCCAAAGGCAGCCAAAACCTTGGTTCCAGGATAAGGGCCAGCCAGCTCTAGGCTGCAGCCTGTGTTATCCTTTGAGGATCGGCAACGCCCATGATTGCACGAGACCCCGTGGTTTAATCAGCATCACCTCAACAATTTGAACTAGCAACCCTGCCAAACATAAGTGGGCCTATTGCTATCAGCGACGAACTGGGCGTCAGAGGCTTGGTAGACCCGGGGAATCTACACGTCTTTTGTCGGTCCTTGAAAGCTGGAACCCGTTTTTCGTTTTTGTTTGTTTGACCAACCTTTGGGGGGTCGATTTTCTATGCTACCCACCTGATGGTCCCAGCTGGAGCCCGTGTTTTTGTTCTTCTTTTCTTGTAGCCGGACTTGTTGTTGTCTCCACGGCGTGAGCCGGTACCTGTTTGTTTTTTTCTTATGACCAAAGTTTGGGGGTTAGCTTGGCGAAGCCGTTTCTTTTCCAAAATTTGGGCGTCTCGCAGACAGCACCGTGGCCTGGGCCACGTGCTGCTGGACGGCGCCAAGCGCCTGGCCGCCCGGCGCCCGGAGCCCAAGGACCGGCCGCTCACGGAGCCCGCCCAGGCGGGGACTCGGCGAGGTCCGAGGAAATGGACATGAGGAACCCAAAGGGTCGGTCGGGTTAAAGGTATTGCAGAAGAAAACCAGTCATTGCTATATAGTTATTGTTTTTTATTGTTTTTGTTTTTGTTTGTTTGTTTTTTTGGGGGGGGGGGCGGGGGTCGAAACCATATTTTGACACAGAACCCAGATAAACACGGCTGGTGAGTAAGCCGAATAATTGTAACTTGTGTAGGAAAAACTAGTTCTAAGCATATGTTTGACCTGTTTAAAAAAGGGTTCGGTTGAAAGATAAGGCAAAAGGAAGCCAGACATGTTTGCTTTTCATGCCCCCCACACACACGCACACACACACACACACATGTTTTTGTTTTTTTTAAGGGCTTCCAGAACCTGTTCCCGTTCCCTGGGTGGTTGACCAGAAGTACTCTGAACAGCAAAATGTGGATCCAACAGCGTATTTTAAATTAATTAAACATCTTTTGGACGGTGGCATTCAACCCGAAAGATCCCAAAAGGGGGATCAAACAAAGTAATTCAGGGGATGTCACGATGGGAAGTCGGTGGATTCCGGACCCGCTTGAGACGCCCTTAGAAAAGACGGGCCCGCATTGTTTGGAGATTCAGATGGGGCAGTCAGGATATGGAGTGTCTTATCTTGGAGACACACCTCAACAATGAATAATTACCCTTGATTCATCAAGGTCCAAAAAAAGCAACGGATTTTCGAGGGTTTTTCTGGGCAACCCCCCCCCCCCCCCAAAAAAAAAAAAAAAAAAAAGAACGGTCACCGGTCCTCTCCGGTCCTCTCGGCTCAGTGGGGGCCTGGCCTGCAAGGGGGCTACCCTCGAGCGGGTCAAACCCTTTGCTAAACATTGCTCCGACCATTTCACGCAGCCCAACTAAGAGAAGTAGCCTTAGTAAGGGCAATAGCTTTATTCAAAGTTATGTCTTAAGTAATGAGGGGTCGTGTTTTGTAGTTGGTGCCACAAAATGGAAGAGGTTTTTACGTTGGCCAGGCCTTTTGGGGCCCGTGAAATGGTGGTGGCTGCAAGTCGTGGGGGAAAAAGGCCAGTCCTTAACAGGGCTCATAATCGGGGGTCAACACTATCAAACAAAACGGCTATCATTCGCATACCCATGAGAAAAACATGCTGGAATATGTAGAATAAGTAGATAAATACGCACTTGATAGAATAATTCGCCTTTCTAGGTCAGGCATGGTCGCTTGAAACTAATATGCATGTAGAATATAGCGCCGTCACTTTGCCCAACAATTTACCCGAATGTTGGCATTGTACAGGCACATGGGCAAGCAGTCTAGTACCATCTAGGTGTTACATGCTTGGCTTCCTCAGGATGTTGTGGGGGACCTTTCGGGCTTAGGGGCACAAGTTCCCTCGGCCCTTAGCATGACGAACGCCCCAAAACCCACATCCTGCGTTTGAGAGATGTGGGGGAACTTGGGATTGGGAAATGCTTGACTCACTGTAACCTTTCAATTTGCTTCCAATAAATGACACTTGTAAGCTGGAACCTGGGCTTGGACTTCTCATCGCGGGCTTTCGCGATGTTAAGGATAGCCATTGTTTCTTATTGTTGAATTCACGAATGGTCTCCTGGTGCAAAACAATGGCACCCATGCCCCTTTATTCGACCGTCGACGAGGGTTGGGCCCGGCGACTCAAGCCCTTGCTTGAACAATAGTAAAACATTTGATAGCTTCTACTCCCTTTTGGACGTGGACCAAATCCTCACTTACCCAAATCCGACCTTTTGACCTTTTGGTTTCCTTTTTTTGGCCCATTTTGTTTGTTCTTGCCCACAAACGTGATCACCTCTGATTTCTGGGTCCTTAAGGGTCCACTGAGAATCTGGTATGGTTCCCAATGGTTGGTTCACCCAACGCTCCCCTAATGGGAAGCCACCAGTGGGATGGTTTTTCTCGGGGTCTGACTCCATTGCTCAGGTTTTAGGACCCCCCCGAGGTCGGTGTCGGGGGTCGACTCCGCAGGTCGCCTGGCGTCAGCTCGTGGCCAGTGCTGGCGCCGGAGGCTTCTGCCCCAAGGTCTTGGCCAAGGCGGGGCGCTCGGGACACGAACCGCCAGTGCGCTGGCGACCCAAAAATGGCTCCTTGGCAAATGGAAACGAAGACTGACACCTGCGCAACCCCGTTTTTTTGTTTGGCGCCTTGGTCAATGGGAAACAATGACTATAAACCTGGGCAAGCCCAGGAGTTTTATTTTTGAGCAGCCAACTGGATGCTAAGTAGCACACACGTTAGAGGGATGCTTTAAACAGCAACATGAAGACGCGATCGGAAGGGAGTCAGTTGTGTGAGCATGTAGCCCGTTATGGCTCCGTTGTGTTTGCTGCGATTTCTGTGTTTTCGAAAGGGTGTGGGCATGTGTGGGCAAATGCATGTGTTCCATGCAAAATAAACAACAGGTTGCTTAGCTGGAATGCCCTCTTGAGCAAAACCAACGAGTCCTTTTGGTCAGTTCAGTATATTACTTCTATCCCCTTGAGCCAAGTTTCAGGCGTTTGACACTGCGTTTACCGCATAAGGTTCACGAAATGTGGGCCGGCGAACAACCTTACTGTGGATGGGCGACATCCTGCACCACCTAAGAAACCATGGAATGATTCGATTCCCCTGCACATACCAACAAATGAGGAGTTCAACCCGTTGTTTCAAGGTGGTGCGAACGGATTTCGCAACCACCCACAGTTTTTACTGTTTGGTTCGGTTCAAAAGCTGATGTGGCCATCGGTCAAAAGCCCGTACCCCCAGTGAACATCCTAATCCCCACCAAAATCGGTTCTAAAATGGGTGGTGCACCGAAAGCCCCAAAATGGGATCCCAAAACGGTTTTGACTGCAGATGAAAGGGCAACAAACACATGGGCATGGATTGCCCGTTTTTTGGAACAGTACATAGAAGGTTGCATACACGACGCAGCCGCTTTGACACAAGGCGCAGTGAAAACATGCGCCCAGGGCAGTCTGCCATTCACAGGTTATGAGCCCAAGTCACGTTAGGTGACTGCGACCACGCAGCTATGGCCACTGGATCGGGGAGATCCAGGAGGATAAGAACGCTGGAGGCCAACGAGGCCGCGGGCAAGGGGTCGAGCAGCAATGGACCTGGCCCGGTGGGGGAAGAGGTGATGGAGACCCTGGTCGCCAGGCCGGATGGAGTGGTGGAGGCAGGAGCTTCGACCCAATGGCCTGGAGGGCCGCAGGGGGAGCCGCTGGCAATTGAGCCAGTGCCAGCAGCGCTGTTCACGCCCGAGCAGATGAAACGGCTCGATGAGTGGACGGAAGAGGCGCCGCTGATCCACTCGACTGGAGCTGGAGGAAGCAGAGAGGGGTTTGAGACCTACATCGAGAGGTCCAACGAGGACATGTTGGAGAAGAAGGAGTTGGTGCTGGCGGCACAACAACTTGCTCTACCGGTACCAGGGGGACATGCCGAAGGCGCTCGGGTTGCCCAATGGCAAGAACAAAGGCCCCCACAGCCGGCTCTACCTGGACCTGGAGGACTTGATGGAGGCCCTCGATTTGCTCAATGGCCTGATCCAATGCAGGAGATGCGCTACTACATGGTGCAGTTGATGGCCGATAACCGGAGGCTGCAGGAGGAGGTGGTGCACTGCGTGAATAAGGTAGCAGATATGCAGCTGAAGTGGCAACCGCCTGAACAAGGAGCTGCACGAGGAGGAGATCAGAGCGACAGGTTCGCAACCCCTGAGGAGCATGGAACCCCAGAAGGCCATGGAGCAACAGGAGAACCTGCTGATCAGGAAGAGGAATCTTCTGAGATGAGGGAAGATGAGCCTGGTGGGGAAAAGGGACAGTCGCTGGACATCATGCTGAAGATTGTCCAAGGGATGCAGATCATGCAGCAGCAGATGCTCAACCAGCAGAAGAAGCCAGATGGGGTCGAGGATCACAGCGAGCTGGTGAAGAGTGGCGCTATGGAGCTGCCGAAGCTGGTGGAGTATCGGCCGGAGAGCGCGCCGATCGATCTGGGAGATTGGATTTGAGTCCTGGGGCCCATCATGGCGGATCTCAGCGAGTCATCGCATCAGTGGTGGCACAAGGTGGTGGAATCGGCAAGGGTATGGTACGCGAAGTACCAAACCACGCCGCCGCTGGAGAGGGTTCGCTTGCAGACGAAGGATCCTCCGGAACTTCAAGAAACCCGGTGGAGGAGGTTGGAACGGAGGGCAGTGGGACTGATCCTACGGGCTCTTCCAGAAGGAGCCAAGGAAGAGATGGTGGCGACGAAGTCTATGACGTGCTACGCCATCCTCTGCAAGCTCATGGCTAGCTATCAGCCGGGAGGTCTGGTGGAGAAGGGGGTGATTTTGCAGAACTTGGAGAATCCCCCGGAAGTGGACTCTTTGGCGTCTTTGGTGGTTGGTCTGAGAAAGTGGATGAGGTGGAAGCAACGGGCGCAGGAGTTGGGGGTTACCATTCCGGATCCGACGGTGTTGGCCCGGTCCCTCAACAAGATGATCAAGAAGGTGCTGGAATTGCAGCCGGAACTCGCCTTCAGAATGGCCTTGGCGAGGACTGCGCTACAGCTGGATTCCATCCCATCGCACGAGGCAGTGGAGAAGTACGCGGAGCATGCGTTGTCGGAGGTGGAGGCCATCGCTCATTTGGAGAAGGAGGTCAAGACACCGGCGACAAAGACTCAGATGGTGGACGCCAAGGTCAAGAAGGTGGACACCGTGGACGGCAAGAACGAAATGAAAAAGGCTGGAGAGGACATCCGGCCCTGCAAGTTCTTCCTTTCGGAAAAGGGCTGCAGACGAGGGCGTGGGTGCAGATGGAGCCACGACCAGAAGGATGAGAAGATGAGGTGTTGGTCTTGTGGGGCGAGTGAGCACCTGCGGTAAGGACTGTCCTGTCGCTGTGAAGGCTAGCCCGGACCGAAAGCCGAAGGTGGCAAAGGTCGGTACCGAAGGAGGGGACAAGAAGGAGGTCGGCGCTGAAGCCCAGAAGGAATCAACTCCGAGGGCAACGACCTCATCGGCAACAGTGCATGAGGACTCCCCGGGAACGGCGAGTTCGGCATCCAGTGAAAAAGACAATGAGGCGATGAAAGATGTGCTCCAGGAGGCCACAAAAATGCTCAGAAACCTCAACGTCAAGGCGCCGGGAAAGAGCGCACAAGAGGAGGAAGAAAAGAGCTGCTGGACCTTCAGAAGCAGTTGGACGGCATGAGAGAAAGGATGAGGGTTCGCCAGATCAAGTTGTCCAAGATGGAAACAGCCGGTGTTCGGGGGCTGGTGGACTCGGGAGCAACGAACCCACTCAGGGCCGTGGAAGAAGGCGAGGATGTCGAAAGCTATGAGGAACGGACGGTGGAGCTGGCAGCCGGGGAAACTTACAGCTTGAGGGTAACCCCGGAGGCACGCTCGTTGCGGGGACAAGAGAACGCAGCCGATCATTCCCATGGGCATGCTCACGAAGGACCTGAATTGCAAGGTCAAATGGAGTGGGAAGGCGTGCACTATCCTACATCCTGGACGAGGACAACTACCGGTGGTGATGAGTCAGGGGTGCCCGGAGGTGCTGAGGGCACTGGCACTCAGTCTGATCCAGGAGTTGGAGGGTGTAAATCGCCACAAGATCCGATCGCTGTCGAGGCGGGAGGAGGTGGACTTCGTGAAGAAAGTCGTGGAAATGCATCCGGTGTTCGATGAAGTGCCGGAGGCGATCAAGCGAGAGCTGATGGTGGAACCGGCAGAGGACTGGAAACCGCTGGGGCTGAATCGTAGCCGCGGATTCGACCTTTCGAGGGCATACAAGGAGCAAGGTGGAGATCCGCGGGATATCTTGGAGTATGACATTCTCCGAGATGAGGCTCATGACCTCTTGAACAACGAGCTCATGAGTGGTCTGGTTCGGTTGGCGCTGGACGACCGGATCAAGGCCGTGGTGGGCGGGCTGAACTGCAGGACGAGATCGGTGCTACGGTTCTACCCGCTGCTGAACAGGGCTAAGCCACGCCCGGTGAGGACGACGGAGCATCGATGGGGCCTGCCGGAGATGGACGAGGGAGAGAAAGCAATTGTCAGAGAAGACGATGTGCTGATGTTCCGCTTCATCCTGATCTATCTCCTGGCAGACATCACGGCGAAGGCAAGAGAGAATGAAGGGGGTGGTGTGAAGTTCTTCATGGAGCAGCCGGCGGAGCCTAAGGGAGAGCCGAGATGCGCTTCGTGGTGGAGAACACCGGAGTGGAAGACCCTTGAGAAGCTCCACAACTTGAAGGAGGTCACCTTCATGCAGGGAGACTGGGGTGGACGTGCGGTAAAGCCTACAACAGTGGGCACGAGGGCCGGAGAAGGGTGTCTGTGGGCTACATCTGGGAGAAGCTCTACGTCATGATCGGGAGGTTGAGAAGCCGAGGTGGGAGATGACGGATGAGGAGAAGCTCAGCTCGTCAAAAGCGTTGGCGAGATGGGCCCCGGGCATGATGAGAGAGCTGGCAAGATGCCTTCGGAAGGAAGGATGGCCAGTCGAAAGTGAAGGTGAAGTCTCTGTCGTGGGAAGAGCATGTGAAGCTGGGCCACCTGCCCTTTCGGCGGGACTGCCGGGTCTGCCAGGAGGCTTCGGCACGGGACCGCCCACATAGGCGGGTGCGACACCCGGCTGGGAACGTGTTGTCAGTGGACCTCAGTGGCCCGTTCATTATGGGCACCGATGTGGACGGGGTTCAGGACAAGAGGTACTTGTTGGTGGCAGCATATACATGGCCACAGATCGACACATCAAAAAGAGAAGAGCTTCCTGGTGATGAGGGAGGTGAAGAAGAAGGTGGCGGGCTTGAAGAAGGTCTACTACCGGAGGAGGATCCCGGAGAGGAGGCGGCGGAAGAGGGCTTCGAGGTTGGAGGAGCAGCTGAGGAGCAAGAGCAGCCGATCCTTCCGGAACCCCAGAAGGAGCCTCACCCGTTGAAGACGCTACATGACGATCCCGCTTGATCCAAGGATCGGAAGGAGGTCTTGGCGGCGATACAGGAGGTCTACATCAGATTGAGGAGGGAAGGCTTCTTGGTGCTGAGATTGCACTCGGACAAGGGGGGTGAGTTCATGAGCAAGGAGCTGGCGAGCTGGTGCCGGCTGAGAGACATCAGGAAGTCCACCAGGACTCCTGATCAAATGCAGGAGAACGGTCGAGCTGAAGCAGCGGTGGGAGTGGTGAAGTCGATGATGAGGCGGGTGCTCATCGCGACGAAGTGGGATCCCGTTTGGTGGCCTTGCATTGCCCGCTACGTGTCGGAGGTGCGCTTCGGCTACGATCTGAAGGGCCACAAGCCGAAGTATCAGTTCGGTGAGGAGGCGGTGGTCCCTAAGAGGGCTTGGAAGCAGAAATCCTTCGAGGCCAAGAACCAGAGGGGCAAGTATCTCGCGCCGCTCTACGACATCACGCATGGACATGCGGTGCTGTTGAACGCAGACCAGAAGGTGGTTGCGGTGTCGAAGGTGCTCTCCGGATTGCGAGAAGGGGATGGTCCGGACGCACCCGGAGCAGATGTGGATGAAGAAGAGGAGAACCGGGAAGGGGATGCTCTCTTTGACGAGGCCCTTCGGGTGAGAAGGAGAATGAGGGTGAAGACGAGCGACCCAGCTCGAATGGACGATGGTGGAGGTGACAAGGTGGCGGAAAGGATTCGGCTGCTTCGCCACATCATTGTGGAAGAAGAAGAAAGGATGCTGGAGGATGACAAGGAGACGGCAGAGATGACGTTCCGGATGGTGCGGAAACTGCGGGAGGAGGAGGAGAACCTGAAGCAGACGGTTCCGGATCAGACGGAGGCGGAGAAGATATTGCACACGAAGATGGTGTCCCCGAACGAGGTGATCTCAGACAAGGAAGGTTGGGCGGCCTCGATCAAGACCGAGCTGGATTCGCTGATGACGGAGAAGCAGGCGCTTCGGAGAGTGCCTCCCAGAGAGGCCGAGAAGCTGATCAAGGAAAAGGGCAGCAAACTGTCAGTGGTACCTGCCAAGGCAATCTTCAGTGTCAAAGCCGGGAGTTCGAGACGGAAGACCAGATTGGTGGTCTGCGGGAACCGGGTGAGCTGTGGCTGATCGACAAGGCCATGTATGGGCTTCGACAGAGCCCGAGGAGATGGTCGGACCACCGGGATGCCGAGCTCGCGAAGCTGACTTGGGAGGTGAACGGCGCCTACTACAAACTGGAACAGTGCGCTGCGGAGCAGAATCTGTGGCGGATCTTGGAGGTTCGTGATGGAACGGAGGCGTTGGCCGGTTTGGTGCCCATCTACGTGGACGACGTCCTCACGGCAACGGAGGAGTCGGTGCGAGAAAGGTTTGAGGCTGTGATCTCAGAAAGATGGGAGACGAGCAAGCCAGACGTCCTGACGGAGGATTGCCAAATCCGGTTTTTGGGTATGAATCTGATGAAGAAGGAGGGCGGCATCTTCCTGCATCAGAGCGACTACGTGGAGGAGCTGCTGAAAAGACACAAGGATGAGCTGGTGAGATCCAAGACGCCAATGTCCAAGAAATTGGCAGACGAGGCGGATCAGGACCCGGGCGACTTCACGGCCATGGACCTCACGAAGGCTCAGAAGGTGACGGGGGAGATTTTGTGGCTGATGACGAGAACACGGCCAGACCTCCTCTACAGCATGAGCCGCATGTGTAGTATGACGTCCAAGAATCCAAGTGGACGATCAAGGCTGGCTATGTCCTGGGGTACCTGAAGGAAACGAAGGACTGGGGACTGTGGGTGTCCGGGGATGCTGGACGGCATTGGTCTGGACATGGAGCAGCTGGATTGCAGGCCTACGCAGATGCGTCGTTCGCACCATTGGGAGAAAGGAGTCAAGGATGTTCCTTGGTGGCGTGGAATGGCACGGTCATCGCGTGGAAGGCCGGGAAACAGGCGTTTCCAGCACTGTCAACAGCCGAGAGCGAGCTGATCGAAGCAATTGACAGTGTGATCCTCGGGGACAGCGTGGAGGCACTGATCACGGATACCTTGGGGATGGATAACTTCAAGAAGATGCTGCTGTCGGACAACGCAGCAGCGGTGGCGATAGCAACGGATGTAAGCCCTTGGGTCCGGCGAGGATCAAGGAGTTGTGTGGCCTCTGGGACCTCAAGGCCATGCGAGAAGAGAGAGAAGCTGTCAGATTGAACAAGACAGTGGTGCAGGGTAGCAAGGAGAAGTGGATCAAGTTGCTGGTGATCCTCATTATGGTGGCCGGATGCAGGGCCCAAGGAGAAGGTCAGCAACAGGAGGAGGAAAGAATGGATCTTTCGGTGGTGGTGCTGCTGATCGCAGTGGTTGCGATTGTGGTCTATCGCCTGATGAGTGAAGTGGCGTCGGCTTTCTGCGGAAAGATGCGGCAACTCAGAGTGATGAGCGCGGAGCAGGGCACCCAAACAGATGACGATGAGGAGGTGATCGATCTGCCAAGAGCATCGAGCACTTCGGTGGCCAGGTCTTCGAGCTCTACCAGCGGGGATCCGTCAACGGCAAGAACATTGAGAAGGCGACGTGGAGGTGGTGAACGTCAGCCAGAAGGGCAAGTCGGTGAGGAGCCCGCTGCAGCAAGGCCGGCTGAGCCGGACGAGGTCGATGAGCGCCTGAATGCCAGATGGCGCGAGGAGCTCATGGTGATGGAGCAGCTACGATGGCGAGAGCTGCAACCGGAGCCGGAGGCAACGGAAATCTACCACCTCACGGCGATGGGAGATAAGGTGCATTGGCGCCGCAATTGCTTCGGGCTGAGCCAGGGGCTTACGGGCGGTGCTGCCCTGTCCGAACTGCTGGCTTGGAGAAGGTCAACGGCGTCGAGGAGCGAGATCGTGGCGAGGGCAGGATGGCTTCTTGCATGCCAATCACCGATGCCCCGGGATTGGACGAGAGCCACAGGTTCCGCTGACACCGTGCAGGTTTTGTCAGGGGCATGTGACGATGGAGAACTATGAGCAGGTCCAGAACGAGGGCATGTGGCCACGGGGACTCGCATGAGCGGCTTGAGCGGAGGAAGCGGCAATAGACCGCTGGCTTTTTGGTTGTTGCTTGGCACTCCCCACGCAACAAGGAGGAGTGCAGATGAAAGGGCAACAAACACATGGGCATGGATCGCCCGTTTTTTGGAACAGTACATAGAAGGTTGCATACACGACGCAGCCGCTTTGACACAAGGCGCAGTGAAAACATGCGCCCAGGGCAGTCTGCCATTCACATTGACAACCGCAGCCAGATGCCGACACCTCTCCTTTCAAGCTCCAGAAATGGCCGGGTTTTCCTCTTGGACAGTCTAGTGTTCAACTTTGGGTTCGGTTCAACAGCTGAGGTGAACAAGGCTAGGTCCCCCAGTGCCCTTTTACTCTTTTTGGAAAAGGGTTCCCTTACTAAAACAGAAAAAAGAAGAAGACAAAAACGGGTACCAACTTATTGAAAACCTCTCTACTGGAGGATGGCCATGTGGCAGAACCTATGGCTCCAATGGAAACCTCTCAAGTCTGGAGGACCTAGAAGGCACCGGGTCCTAAACGTGTCGCCTTGGCGCTCGGATGCCAAAAAAAATGCGCCGTGAGGCCTCCAAGCAGCTGGCCCTGGACATGCCGGGCTGCAGATCCCAAGCGCTGGAGGACGAGGTTTGATTCCTTCCGTTTGCTTAAAGATATTTTATTGATTTTCCCTTGTTGGTGTTAAAAGGTTTTAGTTGCTTAAGATTTGTGTTTTTCCCCTTGCTGGTTTTAAAAGGAATTCATCACTACTGGACATATTTTTAGTTTTTCCAGGGGTCTTAACCAAATGGAAGGTTTGGAAGACCGGAAAGCCGGACAGGAAAACGGGGGGAAACCAGGAGTGAAGCCCAAAATGTTGCATGCAAAAGGAAACCTTGGGATGCTTTTCTGCAACTTCTTGACGTAGAAGCCTGAAATCTTGCAAGGAGACAGGGGAACCTTGGGATGAGTTTTTCTTCTGCAAATGCCCAGGGTTTGTGTGGTAATATTCAGGGCACCTGCTTGGAGTCAGCGAGTTCCATTCGTTTGTTGTCGCTTTCGCGTGGGCCGCAGGACCTGCTGGCGCGATTTCGCTCCTTCGGCTTCCCGGAAGCTGCGGTGCCGTCCACCGAGCGCGAAGCCACCCTCACAGGCGAGAGGGAAGCTCCGGGCTTCACGGAGCTTTTCGCCCGAAAGGGCTCCGCTCCTTGATGTTCCACTTGAGCCACGTGCTCAACACCCGTAGATGAAGGTTAGTAAGGGATACACACCCCCTGCAGAAATAGCTACGGAATTCCGCCTTCTTAATTCTTTGCATGGTTCTGGGTAGACCATTTTAATACCGGGTTTTGATTGTGACTCACTTAATGTTAACGTCTGATTTTCCAGTTAATGTGAATGTCGGAGAAATAGACCCTCGCCCCAGAGGCTCCCTTGGCCACAGACTCAACCGGTTCCGGGGGGCAAGGCGGCTAGCGAAGTGGCTGTAGGCGGCTCTGGGCCGGAATTGCTCAATCGGTCGCACGCGCCTTACAAAATTAGGGTCCCGGAGGCCAGCGTCAGAGTTTAGAAGTGGTTGGTGTTGGATCCTGACACACTTGCCTTGTGATCGGTGGCATTTCCAATGTTTGCCTTAGCAAAAGCTACAACTTGTTGCAAGGGGCCGCCGGTTTAAAGGGAAACCGCTCATTTTGTTCCCCAAGTTAGGCACAGAATCCAGCACAATTCCCTGTGAGCGTGTCCTTTGCGAGAGGGTTTCGAGCTTAGCGTTGCTTGTCCCAGTCCCAAGGTTTCTTACTTAGAGGTCCCTCAGCTCAGTTGAATCCTGGCAGTTTGCGCAGTTCAGTTGTGCATGTCGCATTGAGGATTTGGACTCCCCGCAGTTGGGAGGGTACCCTCAAAAGGATGTATGAGAGAAGCTGCCGCATATGCAGCGCATACACAATACAGGTCGCTATTCTAGGCGGGCGCTTGAATGTTCGAAAGCCTGAGTTGTGGCTAGAATGTGAGAATAAGTAGCCCGACTTCAAATATAACGCCTCTAGTCTACCCCCACCGCCAGTGGAAATTGCCTTTGTCTTCATAGCCTAAGACCATCCAAACTCATTGCTCTCATGCGTGCCCCATTCTTCTTGGGCCTGGCGTTTTTTGCTTTTGTTGTTCGACCTTTTGGTTGCTATGTATGCACATATGTATACATACATATAGCTAGCTACATAGGCATGTATGATATGTGAGTTTACCGTTTGGGTTTCCAGTATGGGCATTTATGTATGTATGTATGTGTTCTTTGCTTCTTGTGTCACCATCTTTCAGTGGCCGGGTTTCTTGAATTCTTCTCCTTTGAGGCCTACGGCGTCCTAACATCCTAGTTCTTTAGTGGCTGCTAAAGTCCTCAAGCCCCAGAACGGGCCACCGCATGGTTCCTTGCAGGCGCTGCGCAGCTCTGCGCGCTGCGGCTACAGCGGCTGAAGCGGAACCGGCGCCACCGGAACGGCCCCCCTGAGGTGCAGGGGGTGGTGGGGTGGAGGGTGGAGACTGCGGGCCCGTTTTGCCTCACCTTCTTCCGAGTAGATGTTTTCTTAGGTGTTTGGCCTGCAATATGGTCTCTAAGTGTCTATGCTAGGGGTGGGGTCGTTGTGAGCAATGGTTTGGCTCACAAAAGGTTGCAAGATACGTTGCAAAGTTGTTTTTGTTTAACAATCAGTTGAACTCAGTTCATGTTCAAGAGTTTGGCTTCTAGGGGCTGTCAGGAATTGGCAGGCTTGGTTCCTTTTGACCGACCCCAAGAGATTGGTTGCAACAATCGGTTCCGCGAGCCACATCTTACGCAACCTTTAGTGGGACCGTAGAATGAGGATGTGGAAGCAGAAGCAGTAGCTGTGATTTGAGCATGTCGGAACACGCTTGGCCCAAACCTGCTCTCAACTCTAGCCACGGTGAAAGCCTAGAGTACTGCCGCTTCCTAAATGATAGGTTGCATGGTTTGTTCGTATCTGCAGTTTAGGTCGTGCTTGAAGTGTCACTGGGTGATGTTTAAAAGGGGAGGGGCCCCAGATTTTTAGAGCCCCAACCTATGGTTCGGTCGCAAGAACAATCAAAGGGAGGCCCAAAATCAGGTTTGGATAAGCAAGGCCCCTATGGATATAGCAAACCCTGGTGCCCCCTTCCCCCCAGGCAGCCAACTTAGTGGGACCCACAGGTACCTACCGTTCCTGGATCACTGCATGCTAGATCGTAGCAGAACTCAAAGCCCCCATGCGGCGGGGGGGTGACAGACATGCACGTGGATCTGCATCAAGACCCCGAGCCGCACTGCCTGGATAGGTGCCCGTTGTAATTGTTCGGTAAGCATCATGTACTTGGGCGTTTGTGGCTTTCAGGGTCACATGGTTTGACCAAAATGTCAACTTCGGATTCATCCGCACCCTGCTCGAGAGGAATCAACTCCCACTTGGGGATGCGTTCTAGAGGTGAGGGCCCATCGTGTGGGCCGCTGGTGGGACTTGTGTCATGTCAGTGTCCAAGAGGCATACAAGCCAACAACAGGGAATGTAACAGGTACACAATTTCGCAAGTTTGTACGTCCATGTTTGTTAATGGACGTGAGTGTATAGATGTATAGCTCTCTTCCGGTTTTGCTGAGCTTTACCTTTTGGGGAGACCATTCTAGTGGCAAACTGTCGAAAATTGGACAGCTTGTTTTGCCCTTCCCAGGCAGTGAGATGCAATAATGTAGCAACTCGGGTTTTGATACCACTGGTCCATGTGACCTCTAGTTGTCCAATGGTTCTCTTTGGGGCACGCCAAAGAGCTTTGGGGCCCTGTTCGCCCCGGTTCGCCCCTATTCGTCGCAAGAAAGCCATTGAGGGGCCCTGAAACCCATTCTGTGAGTGGACGAATTCCTGCACCGCTTGAGATGGATGAAGTCCTTTCAAGAGTGAACAGAGCCACCTACCAACTAGTGCAGGATTTTGACCATCCACGGTAGGAGCAGCTGGGCTGCTGCCTGGAGCACGGGTGTTTGCAGAAGACCCGCTGCTGCCTGGCGCGCTGCGGCTGCGAAGCCAGGTGCCCCCCCCCCGACGCAAAGGAAGCGGGGAAACGGGGGGGGGCGGGGGTCCGGAGGCTCGTGGCGGAAGCCCCAGTGGTCCAGATGATTATAGGTCTTGCTTTTAGGGCACCCCCCCCAAAATGGTGGGGTTTCCTTTTGGCTTTCCTCTCTCAACAAAAAAAGGGTACCTTCAAACAAAGACACACCCAAATGGTGTCCTGCAAGGGTTGTCTCTACAAGCCAAGCTTCCGCATTGAGTTGCAAGTGTGGGTCTGCTTTTGGTCATTGCCGAACCTCGGCTGGAATGAGAATGGATGGGCATTTTACCACAAACCGACGAGTGAATGAGCAAGTTGGGGTGTCTAATGCCAGTTGAGGTTTTGCATTTCGAGGTCTTTTGAGTGGGTGATTCCCAGATACCTACGCAGGTAAATCCCGGCTTTTGCAAAGCGCATCGGAGGCGTGAACTAGGGTCCGTTCAAGCAAGAAGAAACCACCCATTTTGGGAGCTTCTCCAATTTGGAGGCAATTGCATTCCTATATATATATATATATATTTATATATACATATTTCAAGCCACCGATTTGTAGGCGGTTTAGAGAGTTTCCGTTGGAGACAAAGCCCTAGTTGTTCGGTGTTTCCGTCTAATTCCCACTTTGTTTGGGTTGTCCACTGAAGATGGGTTCGTTCAATCATTATCAGCCGGCCAGAATGTTGATGTTCTTTAAGTAGAATTGGCCAACGACCAATTCATGGTGGCTGCGGGGGAGGGAGGGGAGGGGGAGGGAGCCCTAAATAAGGCCACAATAGACTTATTTAGGGCTCCCCCCCCTCCCCTCCCTCCCCCCTCCCCCTCCCTCCCTCCCCCTCCCCTCCCTCCCCCTCCCTCCCCCTCCCCTCCCTCCCCTCCCCCTCCCCTCCCCCTCCCCTCCCTCCCCCCCAGCCCCCACACCAGGGCCACGTTTTGCAGGGCCAATTGGACGTCAGGTGCTGCTGCTCTTGCGCCTGTCGCTTGGAGCTGCGGGAGGATGAGGCAGAGCTCGCCCTAGTCTGTGAGGGAATGGCTTTCCTCGTTTTGGCAATGACCCGGACACTTGACTGCTATTGGGTTGGATATTTAGACTTTAACTTTTTGGGAATTCAAGGTGTTTTCCACTAAACCCACAAAAAGTCACACTTTTTGTAGAGGGGTCAACAGCAACCAAGGATCGATCAACTTGTATGGGCCCTCCGCAAAGAAAAGCAAATGGGAAGGATCTCGCTCTTGAATGGGACACTTTCCGTTAATCAAGGAGGGGTTTATTGGTGGGTCAGACTTGTGAAGTTCATAGGGGAACTCACTCAGAAGTCGTTGGTGTACAATTCAATGCATGGAGGGGCCCGTGGGGAGGGCGGGGGTACTGGTACATTTCTTTCCTGGGAGCACTTCCTTTTTGGTAAAGCTAAGTCAAGCCTCACAAAGCCCAATGTGTATTTCCCAAGTATTCCAAGTATATTTTCAAAAGGAGGGGTATTTTTTGGGTTTGTTTTTCCGCTTTTGGCTTCTTGGCTTTTTGGCTTTGTGGCTTCTTGGCTTCTTGGCTTCTCGGCTTTTTGGCTTTGGCTTTTCGCATCCGCTTGTTTATGCGGCTTTTGGCGGCTTTTGGCGGCTTTGGCTTTTCGCATCCTCTGCTTTCCCAGTTCCTCTCCGGGCTTTTTGGCTTTTTGCACCCTGGTTTTTGGCAGAGATTAACTTGCACCCCTATTTAAATTATCACTTTTTCAAACATCCAATTTTGCGAGAAAGTGCTGTAAAACACGACCTTTTATGTTGTATGTATGTATGTATGATTATGTATGTATGCATGTTTGTATGTATGTTTGTATGTATGCCATAGGGGGAGTCACCCACGCCAACCCCGCACCCCTATTCGAATCATCACTGTTTCGAACATCAAATTTCGGTAGAAAACGCTGTAAAATACGGCAGCTATGTAATCTATGTATGTATGTACGTCTGTATGTATGCACTGCTTCGAACATCACAGGGGAAGTCACCCCCGCCAACTCCAACCCCCCCCCCCCCCGCTGTTTTCTTATTGAATCATCACGTTTTCCAATATCATGGGGGAGGGTTGCCGCCCCCACCCAACTCCCCCGCTACTGTTTAGATTTGCTTACCCACAAGTTGTTGATGATGCTGGGGATGTTGGTTAGACATGCGGGGGATGTTGAAAACGATGCTGGGGATGTTCGCGAGAAAATGCTGTAAAATACGACATGTTACTGGCCAAGACAAGAAATAAAATCCCAAAAGAAATCCACACCCTTTTCAAAATATCATGGACCTATTCCAACCTGCAGCAGTCAATTGCAAGCCGTACTAAGGCCAACTGAAGGAAACTTCACAAAACCACCAGAGGGGGATGCGTTTCGAGTGATATTCCTCGGCGCCAAAGCCATACAGCCTGGGCCTTTTCAGTGGGCCCCGCAGCCGCTGGGTTTGAAGCCAGGTGCGGCCCTTGCTGTCGTGGTGCGGAAGGTTCGGAGAGCTGGCAGCCGCCAAGGCGCGAGCTGAGGTTCAAAAGAGCTCACCGAGTCGGGTCCTTTACTGGTTACCTCACTTCCTGAGTTCCTGAACCCTAAAACGCACTTTAGTGGTAAACAAAAAGTTGGGACTTTTGTTTGGCTAATCCACTCAGGAAGTGAGGGTTCTTAGTTTCAGGTTTGTGAAGAATTGTGGAGTTCGCGGAAGTAAGTTTCATTGACTCTAGGATTCTTCGATGTCGAGAAATGAGCTTTGCTTCCCTTTAACCGCTTGGACCTGGGCGGGGGCCGGGGGGGGGGGGTGACGTCGAGTCTTTGTTGACGGTGTCTAGCAGCTACTAGTACGTAGTGTTATGAATTCCCGCACCAGCGGCTTCTCCCAATAGTTGTGTTTCGCCCATAGCGCAGGATGTCGTCCATAAATTAACATTGTCAAAGTCGGGTATGTTTGATTAAGGTTCGCCAAGCTTGCTTGCGTTCCTAAATTGGTTTGCGGACATAGAAGGTGTGGTAGCTCAACTTTGGCTTCAAACGCATTTGGCCGTGTATAACTTGTTGTAGGTAGTTAGGTCTTGCCTTGTGAGATTTGTTTCAGGTGTCACTGACGTGCCGCCTTTGCAGGAGTTTTGCGACCCAAAGACGGTCACCATCTTGCCAACCCCCCAGCACAGTCGACCTGCCGCTCCACCCCCTGGGGTCTCCACGATGCCAAAACCAGCCCGCACGCCCTGGAAGAGTCGACAGCCCCAGACAGTTCCAGTCGGACTCACATCCCGTCATGTGAGATGGGGCATCTTTTGTAGCATTGGGATCTTCAACGTTTGTGCCAACTTGTGGTCACCACCCCTCTGGATGGCCACAATGGGGCCAAGCAATTCTCATTTCCCCACACGAAGACCTGGTTGGGACTTTCTTGCAAAAGGGGTGAATCACACGAGCCAAAGGGCACCACTGCTTTGCATTGTCCGTAAGTGCCCTTTGATTCTTTATTGAAATCGAAAGTCCCAACCTGACGTCGGCTCTTTTCGCAGCTGAAAACGCACACTCCGTCGAACAAGCGTTTATGACTTTCTACTACTCAACCATAGGGCCCTAAAAAGGTTCTGATCATTCCAGGGTGAACCCATAAGCCTTAGGTCCCATTTAGGGTCGCCCAGAACAGCAATCCAGCAGCCCCAGACGCCAGAGGCCCTGTGCCGCCCCGAACTTTGTGGCGACACCTCCGACAAGCTGGCAAGCCAGCTGCCGCAGCTGCTGGAGGCCTCAAACAAGTTCCCACCAACTCAGGTGTCCTTTTCTCCGGCTGAAAAAAGCTTTTAAAGGTGTTGGTGGTTCAGGCAATGGAGACCAACCTGCTGGTGTTTTGTTGGTCCATGTTTGGGATCATGGAGGGTTTGGCTTATTGTTTGGGTCAGGGTTCCGTCGTTGTGTGTGGATCATTGTTGTGTTCGGGTTCCATGGCTGTTCCCTTTGGCTTGTCTGGTGTGGCCTATTCAATGAAGGGTCGGAGTCTCACCTTTCTCCATGATGGATAGTACTCAGAGCCTCGCAAAGGGACTTGTGCGGCCTCGTGAAGACGGTTTCTTTCAACCTGACCCCTACTGCTCGTTTTTGTCAAGGCATGATGTTTGAGGGCTAAAGGGAAGCTCTCATTGGCAACTGCCAGCTTCCAGAGTTCAGACTCCCGGTCCACACTGGCAACTGCCAGCTCCCAGGTCCACACTGCCAGTTCCAGCCTGCAGCTGCCAGTTCCACACTCCCAGACTGCCAGCTCCACACTCAGCTCCCAGTCCACGCTGCTAGCTCCTGAGTAGTCCCCATATCCTTACATGTGTCTCGACTAGATGTTTGGATCATCGAATTGAATCATGAATTCCCTGTGGCTTCCCCAGCGCACTGGCCCCAAAACCAGAAATGGCTGTGGGTCAAAACCAATGGTGATTTTGGGGCTTTCGGTGCACCACCCGTTTTAGTACCTATTTTAGTGGGGAGTGGTTGATGTTCACTGGGGGTACGATTTGTGTTTTGACCCATGGCCAAATTGGTGCCCAGCTTTCGGGGGAACAGCGACGGGCGGTTCCCCGCAAAAGGTCGCGCAAAAATTAAAAACGCAGGACCACGGGGTATCCCTGGGCCGGCGGCAGCGGAGGAAGCTGGATGCAGAGGTGCCAAGGACGTTTCTCAGCGGATTTCCCGTCTCGGACTTTAGTCACTTTTTGGGTTTGGATCATAGCGGTAACTCAAGACTTCAATTTTGGCCATTCCACTCTGGTGGGCTTTGCGTTTGTCGTTTGTTTTGGGGGGACCGGGTGGGTAGATGTTTTAGTGCTTTCATAATGTGATTGTGGGAATGTTCATGTCAACTCCAGCATGGGCCATCTGTGCGGTGTCTGTTGATCTGAGCCCTGCTCCTGACACCAAATGGGAGCCTCTAAGCCCGACAATCCAAACCACAAATCAGGGAGGTGAAAATAGGTGCAAGCTAATTGTGTGTATTGGCCGCGTGCAGCAAGTCAGTGCCAGTTGGGTGCCAGTCGGTTCGCGCCAAACAGCATGCCCCTTTGGCTATGTCGGCTATGCTAAAGTACAAGTTTGGCAGCTCATGATGCCCTGAAATGGAGGTGACCTGACTCTTTTTCCAAATGCATGTGATTGCGGTGGCCGGCTTTGAAGGAGCCGAAGCAATTATTTATTGGCGACATACTTCTCGCCGTTGTGTTGAGCAAACGGCCAAATGGTTAGTAAGGGAACGCCTCAGTCTGTCCCCTCTAGAGATGCGCTCAGACATGTTGCTACAGGGTGGACGGCCACGTTCGTGCCTCAAAATGGAGACCTCCCAATCGCAGGCATCCAAGGATTTTGACTGAGTTGGTTAAAGATTGTTTTGTTTTGTTTTTCTGAGAAGAAACTGGTTTCCAAAGGGGGTAGGTCCCACTGAACAGGGTCCATTTTTCTACTTGGGTCACAGGTTGCGGCTGTACGGAGTACCCTTCCGCAAGCACGCAGGCGGACACGCCAAGCACCGCGGCTTCTTCGGCGCCAGCGCCGAAGCTGGCGCCGAAGGTTGCGCTGGAGCTGGCGGTGGAGCACTGCTGGGTGGACACTGCGGCGGCGCTGGAGGCGGCTACGGAGGCCTGGTGTTGGGCGGTGGCTGGTTGGAGGTGGACACGCGCATTTACTTTAGGGGGAAACAAACGCAACTAAGATATTGGGATGAACAACCATGCTACTTTGCCTTTTGTGCTTTCTCAAATTGCAAGTGAGCCTGGCGACCAGTACCTTGCAATCCGCTGCGCCATCAGCGCATTCGGTGGGAAGAAGTTGTTTGTCGACGTAGTGGGTTTTCAGTAGTTACAGGCTGTTGAAACGTCTGGAACATGGCCGCCACAAACAGATGACAGATGGCCTGCTTTTGCGGCTGCCTGAGTTCAATTGAGCATTGCACTGCGGTTGTTTCCCCTGCACGAGGGGAAACCTACATTCAAATGTTTGATACTGCAGCTGGAGGTGGAATTTGAGCAGGGATCTTATTAAAGTGAGGTTGGAACACTGTTCTGACGTCGTGCTTTCACTACAGAGACCTAGATATACGGACTCCAGGCTAACCCAAAGGAAGCTTGCAGGACCCCTTTGGAAGACTTTTCGCCTCATTTCCAGTGGCCTTCTGGGAGCCTCCACTGACTCGCCTGAGGGAGGGGAAGTGATGTTTTACCTGATGGAACCCCATGAGTGGTGCCCGAAATATTTCAAGTGAACAAAGCAGGCACAGAAAGTGAGGGAATGTCCCCCTGTGCACCATCCTGCGGGTTTTATTGGATGTTTCTTTAGATCATCCCAGAGAAGCTTAGGTTTTATGTGGGTATATGTGTCAAAACAGGGGTGCTTCCCTTTCAGGGGGGCCTTTTTGCCGCCGTTTGTGGAAAAATGATCGACCTCGTAAGGATTCCTTTTTGAGGGGGTCGCCCATTTTCTCACAAAAGGTGGCAAAAAGACACGCCTGCCCAACAAAAATTGGTACCAAACCCCTGCTGTGGCGGTGGCTTCCCTTTAAACCACCACCCAGCAAAAACATCGGTACCCAACCAAAAGTCGGTCGACCTCCTGGGGCAGCCCCAGGAGATCCTGCGTCGGGCAGCGCTGGAAGGATATGTGGTGGCGCTGGACGCGGAGTGGAAGCCCTTCGCATCAGGCGGCTTCCGGCGGCGTTCGGCGGGTGTGGCGCCTTTGGGGGGCCTGGAAAAGTGCCTGTGGCACCTGTTTTTTGGTGTTGTTGTTTCTTCTTCTTAAACAAAAGAAAACAGTGTGTGTGTGTGCTGTTTCTTGTTATGTGTGGTCTTGGTTTTGATGTTCTTGTGCTTGTTCGTGGTTGGGAGTTGGCTTTGGCATTCCGGTGCACTAGCTCTGAAGATGTACGGAAATTTGGCGACAGCGAATATTTGTTTTGGTCCCTTTGGCTGCTAGGCAAGACAATGAAGCGGTTTCCACCAGAAAGGTGTGTATCTCGTTGCAGGGCACCAGCTTAGGGTTAGGTCGATCCTTGCCATGCGTGGCAGGTTCGTAAAGCAAGAGGGATGTCCAAGGTGCCAAATGTCTGGCTTCACCTCCGGTGCTTTTCCTTGTTTCCTTAAGTGTTTGCCTACCCAATCCACCAAGGACTGCGATTTTGGCCCACCATTTGACCATTTTGGTCCTCTCGGAATTTGCCAGGCTCAAGGTTTGTATCTCCGGGGGGGATTTGGAGGTTCCGCGGGTGATTTGGCCCATGGGGCACAACATGCCAACTTTCGGTTCGCCATTTCTCAGGAGGGATGAGGCGTTTCAGGTTGCCAGTTATGCCTTGCTTTACTCAGGGCTCCTTAAAAGATACATTTTGCCCATTTGAAACATGTTTTTCCCACAAAAACAAGGGGACACCCCCATTTACAAGGCAATGTTCAGGTGTAAAAATGTAAGGATCCCTGTTACTCTCAACCTTTTTACGTCGAGAGTTACTAGCTCAGAATTTGACTGCAACACAGGCGAGCGATTGTTTGAGTGTTTGGAGATATTTAGTACGGCCACCGGCGAGTGGAACGGGCAAACTCCTCTGCGGATTTTACTTTCAGAAAACACTCGCCCCTGCTTGGATGACAATGCTATTCGCAAAGACCGAACAAATTTCTCAAGCCGCACTATTAGCCACCTGCCAACTTGAGCACATGAGGTTCAGTTCAAACATCCAGCAGCCAACGGTCGATGTGGGAGGGGGCATGGTGGGACAACCCCCCCCAAAAGAAATATATATACTGTGGCCTAAATGTTGGAACCGCGACTACAGGGGCGATTTACTGTAAAGATTACCTTTTGGTGAAGCAAGATTTCCTTATAAATATGTTTGTTCATTTTCTCACTTTCCCAGTTTCCGGATGTCATTTTGGGGGAATATCATTCTGGTGGCAGACAAAGCATATTCGCTTTTACGAGCAGGCGTCTACTCTCAGGAAGTGTCCTATCTCCTTGCCGGTCTTCCTCGCATGTTCCCATTTGCCAAGGTGTAAACAATTTCGCGTGTTGCCTGTTTGGTGGCGGGGGGGAGGATTCAGTTGCTTCATCCCCAAAGTTGAAACAACCATAAAAATATGCATTTCACCTTGTGGATTATGGGCCCCGACAACAGGTTCTGGGTCGGCCCCCATTGCTAGCACCACTAGGGGAGGCGCCAACGCCCGTGGAACTCCTGCAGCTGGCGGTGTGGGGAGACCCAAGGCTTTGAGCCGAGGGGCCCTTGACGGCTGAGGTTCCCAGTTTTCTAGGGGTTGATTCCTTTTCCATTCTTTGCAACCATCCTTCTTTTCGAAAACCGATCGCTGTTTCCCCAGGGGTTTGGATTCCTCTTCCATTCGTTTCAACCATCCTTCTTTTCGAAAACCGATCGCTGTTTCCCCGTTTTGGGTGGTGTTTTGGAAAGAAGGATGCCTGGAAAGAATAAAAATGGAAGGAAGCCCTAGAAGTTTTGGGATGGGGGGTTTAGGATCATCTCCCAGGCGTTGTTTGCGTCTGTTTGACGGGGGATCAAAGAACTGCACTGCCTGGGTCGTTCGAAATCAATGCCGTCCTTGTGCCAAATTGTTGGGCCAAATGGTCTTGGCTTTCTTTGAAGTGGTGTTTACCCATAGTTTCTTGGCGGCATCCGTATGTTGAAGGTTCTATCCATGTCGTTTTATGGTCTCGATGTCTTCATTTTCTTTGGTGGCATCCACAGTTGTATGGTAGTGCCCATGTTTTCATGATGGGGTTTTATGGTTGCAATTGTCATGTGAGTGTCCATGGCCTTTTTGGTGGTACCCGCTGTTTCATGATTGCACCCATATCCTGATGTGTGTCCCTCCCTATTCAACCATGTGTTTGATTTTCGGTATCCGTAGTCGTGTTGGTTGAAATGAGCTCGGCGGGGGACTTCTGCAATTCCCCTGATTGGTTGCCAGGGATGTGTCAATTCTACTCGTCAGCAATTGATTAGGTGTTCCTTAAGTCTGCCTTGACAATGACTTCGCCCTTGTTGGCTTCCGTTTGGCCAGACTTCTTTGCGGAGTTCCTGAGGGGGCTGCAGCGGAGCTTCTCGCGAACCCCCAAGAAAAATGATAAATCCGCATAGATCGATCAATGGCAAGCAAAAACAGGATTCGTTTGAATATCGGTATGTCCTAAATAGGGATCGATCCCCCCAAAGCGAGTGTCCCTTCGGCTTGCATTTCCAAATGCCCAGCGGTGTTCCTGGAACACCGACATACTTTTGACCGAGATATTGACTAGGAGGAGGCAGCTGAGCTTTGAGCCATAGCCGAAAATTCTGCAAGTTTGGCAAGTACCGCTAGATACCATTGGGGCTGTCTTGTGGATGTTTCTGTGGGCTTCTTGAGGCCTTCTGGTTGCTGGCTGCTGGACCTTCCCGCACTGAAAGCTGCTGGTCGCACGGCGGGGGAGCTCCTGCGGCAGATTTGCCGCTCGCCAAATTCGCGGAGCGGCGGGTGACTGCCGATTTTCGTGCGAAGATTGCACGAGAGTTCTTAGAAATGGGATTCAGCCCTTGGAATTTAATGGGAAGCCAAAAGGAAGCCAACTGATTTCGGGGGCTTTTAGTTTGAGAAACACCCACAAGGGGTTTGGGAATGATTTCAGGCATGCCCTTGAATCGAAGGAAACCAGAGGGGTTTGGGGAATTTTCCTCCTGCTTTGTCTGTTTGTTCCAGGGCAAACTGCAGTTTTAGAATTGGCAACATCTTTGCATGAGTAGCGGTGGTTCCCACTGCTTGGTGAAAGGGAACTGGTGTGAGCCTTCAAAGACTTTTACCGCGGGCACCAACTTGTCACATTTCCCTTGCAAAGTGATATGGAACTCAAAAATGGGGTCCCTCCAACGCAGATCCCTCTGGAACTGATGCTGTCTTGTGGGTTCCATCTATCCCCACCCCCTAAAAGTCCCGCGACACCATGACTTGGTATAAACAAGCCTAATGAATTTCAGGTGGGGATCCTAGGGGTTGATTCCTTGTCCATTCTTTTCAGCCATCGCTCTTTTCAAGCACCGATCGGCATTTTGCTGGGTTTTTGGTGTCAGAAAGGTCCGGATCCCTGGGTTCAGAATGGAAATGGAAGTTACCCCTAGAGGGATGCCGTGCCTTTGCCACTCTCTTTTTTGATGAATAAGCAGCCCCCTTGGTAGTGTAGAAACCCTTTTCAAGGGAGGCTGTTCATTTCGGTCGAAAAGGCAAACCCTGAATCCGACGGATGCCGCGTTCTGCAGACAAAAAACCAAAAACCTTCTCTGAGGCCAGAGCTGCGTGCTGTTAGGCTTCGGGCTCGCGGGGGACCTCGCGCGCCTCAAAGATGCGCCAGAGCCGGCCAAAAGCGCCTTGCCCAATCCACAGCAGCCGAAATCAGACCCTCAAAAAGCCTTCTTAGAGCTTTATTTCGGGGAGGGGGGCGGGGAGTTGGATCCTCTTTTTTTTGGGGGGCATGTGATGACTGACCCTGTGACAAGACACATCTGCGTGTCAAACAGCTGGAACATATTGGTGTGATTTGAGGGTGCACTTGTGGGGTGCCGTTTTTGGAAACAGCAGGGACAACACTTGTTTTTGGTAACAAGGGTGCCCTCAAAAGACGAAGAGGGAATGTTTTTGTTTGAGGCTCGATACCCTTAGTCAGGTATTTGCAAGGAGACTGCAGAGAACCACCTTGCTTTGAGCAGACACGTTGGCAGGTTGTCCACCACAGGGAGTCCCTACCTATTTAAACCCGTCTTGGTGTGTGTGTGTGTATGTGTATGTTCCTCTGTATGTATGTATGTATGTAATGTAAATGTATGTATGTATGTATGTATGTAATGTATGTATGTATGTATGTATGTATGTGTGTATGTATGTAATGTAATGTAATGTAATGTACTGCAATGCAATGCAATGCAATGCAATGTAATGCAATGTAATGTAATGTAATGTAATGCCTGTATGCATGTAATGCATGTAATGTATGTAATGTATGTATGTATGTTATGTTATGTAATGTAATGTAATGTAACGTAACGTAACGTAATGTAATGTATGTAATGTATGTATGTATGTATGTATGTATGTATGTAATGTAATGTAATGTAATGTAATGTAATGTAATGTAATGTAATGTATGTATGTATGTATGTATGTATGTATGTATGTATGTATGTATGTATGTATGTATGTATGTATGTATGTATGTATGTATGTATGTATGTATGTATGTATGTATGTATGTATGTATGTATGTATGTATGTATGTATGTATGTATGTATGTATGTATGTATGTATGTATGTATGTATGTATGTATGTATGTATGTATGTATGTATGTATGTAATGTATGTATGTATGTATGTATGTATGTATGTATGTATGTATGTATGTATGTATGTATGTATGTATGTATGTATGTATGTATGTATGTATGTATGTATGTATGTATGTATGTATGTATGTATGTATGTATGTATGTAATGTATGTATGTATGTATGTATGTATGTATGTATGTATGTATGTATGTATGTATGTATGTATGTATGTATGTATGTATGTATGTATGTATGTATGTATGTATGTATGTATGTATGTATGTATGTATGTATGTATGTATGTATGTATGTATGTATGTATGTATGTATATGTATGTATGTATGTATGTATGTATGTATGTATGTATGTATGTATGTATGTATGTATGTATGTATGTATGTATGTATGTATGTATGTATGTATGTATGTAATGTATGTAATGTAATGTAATGTAATGTAATGTAATGTAATGTAATGTATGTATGTATGTATGTAATGTATGTATGTATGTATGTATGTATGTATGTATGTATGTATGTATGTATGTATGTATGTAATGTATGTATGTATGTATGTATGTATGTATGTATGTATGTATGTATGTATGTATGTATGTATGTATGTATGTATGTATGTATGTATGTATGTATGTATGTATGTATGTATGTATGTATGTATGTATGTATGTATGTATGTATGTGTATGTAATGTATGTATGTATGTATGTATGTATGTATGTATGTATGTATGTATGTATGTATGTATGTATGTATGTATGTATGTATGTATGTATGTATGTATGTATGTATGTATGTATGTATGTATGTATGTATGTATGTATGTATGTATGTATGTATGTATATGTAATGTATGTATGTATGTATGTATGTATGTATGTATGTATGTATGTATGTATGTATGTATGTATGTATGTATGTATATGTATGTATGTATGTATGTATGTATGTATGTATGTATGTATGTATGTATGTATGTATGTATGTATGTATGTATGTATGTATGTATGTATGTATGTATGTATGTATGTATGTATGTATGTATGTATGTATGTATGTATGTATGTATGTATGTATGTATGTAATGTATATGTATGTATGTATGTATGTATGTATGTATGTATGTATGTATGTATGTATGTATGTATGTATGTATGTATGTATGTATGTATGTATGTATGTATGTAATGTATGTATGTATGTATGTATGTATGTATGTATGTATGTATGTATGTATGTATGTATGTATGTATGTATGTATGTATGTATGTATGTATGTATGTGTATGTATGTATGTATGTATGTATGTATGTATGTATGTATGTATGTATGTATGTATGTATGTATGTATGTATGTATGTAATGTAATGTAATGTAATGTAATGTAATGTAATGTAATGTAATGTAATGTAATGTAATGTATGTAATGTAATGTATGTATGTATGTATGTATGTATGTATGTATGTATGTATGTATGTATGTATGTATGTATGTAATGTATGTATGTATGTATGTATGTATGTATGTATGTATGTATGTATGTATGTATGTATGTATGTATGTATGTATGTATGTATGTATGTATGTATGTAATGTATGTATGTATGTATGTATGTATGTATGTATGTATGTATGTATGTATGTATGTATGTATGTATGTATGTATGTATGTATGTATGTATGTATGTATGTATGTATGTATGTAATGTATGTATGTATGTATGTATGTATGTATGTATGTATGTATGTATGTATGTATGTAATGTAATGTAATGTAATGTAATGTAATGTAATGTAATGTAATGTAATGTAATGTAATGTAATGTATGTATGTATGTATGTATGTATGTATGTAATGTATGTATGTATGTATGTATGTATGTATGTATGTATGTATGTATGTATGTATGTATGTATGTATGTATGTATGTATGTATGTATGTATGTATGTATGTATGTATGTATGTAATGTATGTATGTATGTATGTATGTATGTATGTATGTATGTATGTATGTATGTATGTATGTATGTATGTATGTAATGTAATGTAATGTATGTAATGTAATGTAATGTAATGTAATGTAATGTAATGTAATGTAATGTAATGTAATGTAATGTAATGTAATGTAATGTAATGTAATGTAATGTAATGTAATGTAATGTAATGTAATGTAATGTAATGTAATGTAATGTAATGTAATGTAATGTAATGTAATGTAATGTAATGTAATGTAATGTATGTAATGTAATGTAATGTAATGTAATGTATGTATGTAATGTATGTAATGTAAGGTAATGTAATGTAATGTAGTGTAATGTGATGTGATATGATGTGATGTAATGTAATGTAATGTATGTAATGTATGTAATGTGTGTAATGCAAACACATGTGTGAATATTTGCCCTGTTGCTACTTTGTAGCTAGGAGGCTTTGATTTTGACTCGCATGTTCCTTTGTTCTGTGGGAGCCCTGATCGCCTCCCTTTGGATCTTAGGTATCGACCTGCAGGAAGATAGCCGCAGCTGTCCAGCAGGCCTCAAGTTGGGGCCCATCAGTTTGAATGCACCCCAAAGGAACAAACAAGAGGATGGAGACCTCGCCAAGATTTTCTTGCGGGGCAAGTTAGATGGCGACCTCGCCAAGGCTTTGGTTTGCAAGCCAAAGCCCCTGACATTCCAGCTTAGATTACTTGCGTGGGAACTTCTTAGGTCAGCGTGCGTGCGTGCGTGCGTGCGTGCGTGCGTGCGTGCCTGCGTGCCTGCGTGCCTGCGTGCCTGCGTGCCTGCGTGCCTGCGTGCCTGCGTGCCTGCGTGCCTGCGTGCCTGCGTGCCTGCGTGCCTGCGTGCCTGCGTGCGTGCCTGCGTGCCTGCGTGCGTGCGTGCCTGCGTGCCTGCGTGTGCGTGCGTGCGTGCGTGCGTGTGCGTGTGCGTGCGTGCGTGCGTGCGTGTGCGTGCGTGCGTGCGTGCGTGCGTGCGTGCGTGCGTGCGTGCGTGCGTGCGTGCGTGCGTGCGTGCGTGCGTGCGTGGCGTGCGTGGGTGTGGTGTGGTGTGTGTGTGTGTGTGTGTGTGTGTGTGTGTGTGTGTGTGTGTGTGTGTGTGTGTGTGTGTGTGTGTGTGTGTGTGTGTGTGTGTGTGTGTGTGTGTGTGTGTGTGTGTGCGCGTCGTGTGCGCGCGTGGGTGCGTGCATGCGTGTGTGCGTGGGTGGGTGGGTGGGTGTGTGTGTGGTTGGTGCGTGTTCGAGCTGTATTCAACCTGCCCAGCGGTGCAGCCCGTTCAAAGGGATTGCGGGATCCTTGATGTTCTGCCCTAGTTTAACTGGGCCCGTGGTTAGATACTGAGAGCTAAAGGTCATCCAAAAGGGGGCCCAACCAAGTTCAGGAAACACGCTGCAGCCCTTAAACACAACCAGCTTGCTTGGTGCATGTGAGAGGGTAAAGTTCATGGAACCCGTGATAGACTGGCACCCACTTGGAACTGAGCCAGAAGTGACTGGGGGTTCATCAGTGGTTCCTTGTTGGGTTCATACATCCAGCCTTTGAACAAAGGAAACCAATTTCGTTCCAAACTGAAAGTTTCAAGCCGCTTGCTCGAGCTTGGGAGGTTTTGGAGCGGAATCCTGGGTGCTAGAAAGGTGTCTGGGAAATTTCAAAAGAATGATCCGTCCCCTGTTAGCTTCCTTTCTTGGATATTATATAACCGTTGTGGTTGCCCGGGATCCCCTTCAACCCTCCTAAACAAACCCCAAGCCAACTGGCAAACAGGTCCAAACCCTCGATGATTAGGCTTTGTTATGCGTTTCCCGGCTGCTAGGCCCTCCAAACCAAACAAGGTTGTTTTTTGGAACGAACGGTTGGTCGTGCGCAATGATTCCGCATTCCTGGTTGCCTACTGTGGAATCATGCAAACTGTTGGCAATGGTACGAGGCGTATCTTGTACCAGAGGCTTGTGGTCACCCCGGAGGCAGCTTTGGACCCCCTCTTTGGAGCCTCTTATTCGGTTCTCCCCAGTATCTTCTGGCTTCCCTGGTAAGGAAGGAGGCTTACAGCAGGGGAACCTGCCCACCTGTCGTTTCAATAGCCATGTTTAGGTCCACCGCAGTGAGCGGAGGGGCTTGGCCATTGCATGCAATGGACACATCCAAGCAAGTTCTGAAGGTTCCATACCAGGTGTTGGTTGCCACTTCCGTCTTGTGTGTTCCACCAGGAATCAAATCATTTGGCGGGCGTTTAATTTCTGAACCAAAATGTGCCGCAATTTGCGCTTTGGTTTGATACGCCAGGGGTTAACTCCACTCCGACATGTCAGGCATGAACTCATGCTAAGGGAACGCCAAGGAACATTGCTTGTTGCAGGGTTCGCCGATTTTCAGACGCGCCCACATGCAGCCTGTGGTGGAAAGAAGCACTGATCTGACTCCTTTGCGTGTGGTTACGATCCCCGAATTGCTTCCCTACCCTTTTGGGCGTGGAGTTGGAGATTAACCTTGACAAAACATGAAGTAGATAATCAAATGTATGTATAGAAGGCATATGTCCAGCTTCTTTTGGAAAACCCCCTTTTTGGGGTCAATTTTTGGCAGAGACATCACCGCCCCCTCCCTTATCCAGATCCGTTTGTGCTGAAACGGGGGGCCTGCGCAGGCGGCCTGGGGGAGCTGGTGTCCTGCTCGCTGGGCAGAGCGCTGTGCAAGGACCAGCAGCCGGGGACTCGGGACCGAGAGAATTCGGTAGACATCGAGTTCCTCGTTGGGGTGCCATGGTGTTCAGTGATACATAACTGGGGTAGACTTAGTTGATACATTTTACGTATTTTGCCAGTGACTCAAAGTGAAGCAAACAATAAAATATACATTCTATAACTGGGCCTAAATCATGATAAATTGAACGCCTCGAGAAAGATGCGTCAAAATGACAAAGTGGGAGGATGGAATTAGCCCACTTTGGTAGCAGAGTAACAGTTATCTTCAGCCACCGTGGGTCCAATTTGAGTCAAGGGGGGTTGGCCGCTTTTGAGCGGTTTGGTTGTCATGGGCGCCAAATTCAACAATTTCCAAGATCCGCCCCAAGCAAATAATCACATGCGGTTCAGAACCTGTGAGATGCAGAACCCATTGTAAGTATGTTCTGAGAACCTTGCTGGGTGGTATGGGGCCATCTGTTTTTTCCGGCATGCAGGTGTAGCGAATGTGCCTGGAGCCGCTCAAACGGGAAGGGCCTTGGTTGGTCATTTTTTTGTTGTGCCCTTTCTACTTGAGCTTCCCTTGGGCTCTTGTGGCTGATGGAAAAGCATTAAGCATCCTTGGTCAGGCTTAAGGGACAGCAACTATTTGGGCCAAACTGCGTATCACTGGGATAGGTGCACCATTTCTGTAATATAATATAAGCAGGATACTTCATGCTTGGTTGTACAAAGGGTATTCTATCAGGCTCTGACAGAACTTCCACAACCTTTGCCTCTGAGGCACCGTTTCATTCCGGGGTACCTGGTTCAGCCTTTATGACACGAACCCCGAAATGCTGACCCCGGATTCAGACTCAATGCAGCTTGACACGGGTGTGTTTCCCCCAACGACTGAAGGATTCCGAAACTGGAACGCATGTTGATTCATTCAGCGGTTTACCAAAGATCTGGAGTCCCATGATGAATCCTTCTACTCCCCTTCAAGCATCACCCCTCAAAACCAGCATGGAAGCTCAAGCAGGCTCTGCCGCTCAACGCCGTGAAGACTCAGGCACCCGAAAGAAGCAGACGACATGGGAGCAAAGCCGAAGCAGCTTTCCGGCCGCCGGAAAGCCGAAGGGCGAGATCTGGTGAACTCAAACCGAGAACCTCGGAGTGCGCCTGACGCACCACCCAGCTCTGGGAAGAGGACTGGGACGAAAGCTGAGGACGAGCGCACCCTCGGACAGTCGAACATAGGGGCCCTCATTTGTTTGGAGCTGTTCGAATTGGAGTTTCCCCTTGAAACAACCAAAACGTAGCCTCAAAAAAGACACCGATGTGGCTTCTTGTTAGTTTCCTTTCAGTGGTCCTTTCGGTGCCCTCAAAAGGGACACGTCGAAATCATCGAAAGGGTGCCAACTCCGAAACAGGACTCAGTTGTTCAGCGGCACTCTTTGTCCCTTCGTGGTGAGTGAGTTCCCCACCAAAACTGGTCAGCCGACAAAAGGTTTCCTTTCTTGCCTTTCGGGTCACCCAGGATTTTGCCCAAATTGAGTTTCCTTTGTGTGTGGTGACGTTCAAAGGGGATCCAAAATGAAAACACCTCCAAAATGGCTAGTTCCATTTGGCCTTCCCTTTGGACCCCAAAATGGCGGTACCCACACAACATGGCACCCGCATTGGTAGCCACCCTTTTCCACTGGGAGCCACAATCAAAAGTTGGATAAGTCAAAGTCAGGGACAGTCCCCACCAGGCCGCCTTTTATATTCTTTACATGATGTTGGGTGCACCATTTGAATCCATTTGAATACCCATCGGTTCTGATGAATATTGACCCCATATTATAGTCAAGCCCTGTTTATTTATTTACTTTATTTTTATTATGTTTATCTATTTGTTTATCTTTATAATAATAAAAAAGGTCCCGGTGTCTCTGGGTTTAGTGGGGAATCATCACTTTGGTTTTGATGAATGATTCGCTGGGAGCCATCTTGAGGTGTTCCGACTGGTCTGCGCGGCCGCTGTCGCCGGAGCAGGTCCGTGCCTCCGCCGCAAATCGACTTTGCAGCTGCGCGGTTGTCGGCTTTTCCAACCCAAAGCGGGTGGGGGTTTGGACACGTTGGTTGGGGGGTGGGGGGTGGGTGGGGGGATGGATCATAGTGGCAGTTTAGGGTTTAGTGTTTAGGGTTTTAGGTCAGTGGGGGGGGGGGTTGGTTATTACCCAGTCATGAAAAGGCACTTCCGTTATTCAGGGCCCTGAAAAAACGTGCCTTTGATTATTTTCTCGGGGCTGCAACAACTCCGAACTCTGATTATGCGTCATAATGTATTCCACCACTAAGCTATAACGTTTTTGAGGATCCCTCCAGGATATCACGGAGAGTGGCCCTAAACAACCCTTCTCAAACCAGCTGGTCACAAACTGATTCTTTGGTATGAAGGCGAGATCAAACCAGTCAGGGATGATGATCTCACTTTGTATCGAGGCAGTTTGTCACTTTTTGCTTAACGTGCCCCAACAAGAAGGTCCATTTCCGAAAAGGAGATTCCTCTAGCAAAGAAGGCTGTCGGTGTTCCATGTTACTCCGCAGGGGGCAAGCAAGTCTTTTTTCTCGACAACGACAGTTTCCGACCTTAGCCAATCCTGAACTTGGCCCTTTGGTGGGTCAGGGATGTTTCTTGGGCTTTTGATTGACCAAGCCACATGAAACTGTGGAGAGATATACTCAGAAGGATGTTCAAGAAGAGGGATGCCCACAGGGGAGCTTCCTCTACAAATGGCTGGTTGAGCTTCACGTGAATCACAGCAGCAATTTTGAATGAGGTCGTGCTATTAAATAAGATCGCCGCATGGCCGAATGATCCGTTTGTTGAGCCCCTTATATCAGTCGGCTGCTTGCCGTGCGGGAAGGGGGTGCCCACAGGACCAATGTCAACAGATTCATGAATCAACTTAGTGCATGAACAAAGTTTTCGGGTGCCCCCCCCAAGAAAAAAAGAAAGCAAAAACAACAACATCGGGCCTCCTAGCAATGAGCGGTTTTTGGGTGGCTCCAGCTCGAGGCTATGCGGCTCTAGATGCCCATGTCCTCCTCTCGCTGCTGGGCGTAGACCTGGGCGCTTCGCAGGAGGAGGCGTTGCACCCGGAGGCGTGGGGCGGGCCAAGCTGCGCGTCGCTGGATTTGAAAGAGCTCGGGTAGAAACTCGCTGGCTCCCAGCGGTTCCCGGTTCCTGAGCTTTGTTAGCCTTTCAGGTTTTTTGGGGTTTGGTGGTAGTTTTCATTTAACCCGCTAAGAGGTAAACAATCGAATGCAGGGCATTTGAGGGCAGCCCAGTAAAGTCATAGCTGTCCCTTTTTTTGTGTGGCTAGAAATGGAAGGCACTGGTTTAGATGGGTGCTATTCCATTTGCCGGCACCTTCTATTTTTGGGAAGGCCTGCCCAGCAACGATTTGCTCTTTTGAAAAGAAGGGGTTTCCTGGCATCACAGACATGGTGCTTTCCGACCCCCTTCCCACAACCCTGACGAGCACGGCGCCTAAAGGGTGCTGGTCATATTCTCCTTTGACCAATGTCACCACCTTATTCGGAGAAGATGGTTGCCCCAAACAAGCGGCAATGGATTTTGTGGAAGTGGGAGCCAAACATGGTGTTGAACCAATCAGAACCTTGCTTCATTTAAGAGAAGCCAACCCAAGGCATGGTGTTGAAACAACAGGTGTTCAAACATGTTGCATTAAAAAGGCCCTGCCCAGGCACCAAGCGTTTGACCCAAACACCTCTGCCTTCAACCAATAACACCCCCAAACAGTTAGAGAGCTCGTCACTAGCGCGCCTTTTTCAAATGTTGCATGCCTTGTTTGCTCAGGATGCAATAAGCGAGATGGACATGCGTGCTATTGGGTTGGGCCTTGAACCTTGAACTTGTTGCTCGGGAAAGTGATGATTTCCCAACCTCCAAAGCCTCCCAGAAACCTCCAGCAACCACTAACCTCCAAAAGATCCTGGTCAACTTGTTGGTTGAGAGTGAATCGATTTTCCCACCACCCCACCTCCAGGTTTTGGCTGCCACCAACCTCCAGGTCTTTGAGCCACCCACAGGTGGCTGTGGGTCAAAAATGAGTACCCAAAATAGAACCCTGGTAAGTATAAATAAAAACTAAAACCTGCGGTCCCCTGGTGGTTGAATTTTGACTTACACCCAGGTCTTCCCTTTTCGGGGCGACTTTGCCTCGCGCCAAGCGAGGTGCTGGCTGGGGTGCTGCACCGCGCCAGCGCGCGGAGCTGGCAGCGCGCCAAGCCTCGGCTGCTGCCCTTGGGCCCGGCCACTCCGACGGGAACCAGAGGCGATCCCTGCTGAACACAGGGGTCCCTATATTTCCCTTCTTGGTGCTTTTAAGTGTCACCTTTTGGCCCATGAAAGGCGAGTGTCCCTTGGTGGAGGTGATGTTTTTAGGGGAAATATAGGGAGACCTGTAACATGGGTGTCCTTTTTGGTTGTTCTGGTGGAAACATCGATGGCGATTCCTGGTTTTCCTGGTGGTTTAATCTAGGGCCGTCGAAATTTCCCCTAAAAGGACACCTATGTTGGTGAATCGCCGCTCTTGATTAATCAGGGGGTCCACGCAAGGATGAACAGTCTCAGGTTTCAGCACAAGCTGGGCACTTGGGATTTGATTACTTCTTTGCCATGGGCCAGACTAGCTGGTGGTTGCGGAGCTAAGGAGCCGGGGGGGTCCAAACTTGCTCTGAAAGGAGCCTTTTGGAGATACTGGTTGGAGTCCGGTAAGGAGATTGAGTTTGGGAACATTGTGGGGAGCACAACTCCCAACCCATCCACCCTTGTTGAAGGAAGCTAAAGGTAGGGTGCCCTTTTTTGGGGTGGATTAAGGGGATGCCAGAAGGAAAACCACCTTGATTTAATTTTTCCAGTTTTTGTTGGGGGGGGACTCCCCTACAGATTTTCGTGGAACCAACCAAAACCATCGATTGTAGAGGAAACTCATTTTGAGAAATGGGCCCCGGGTTGCCCTTGGTGGATCAGTGACCGGTGACTGGTTGGTGACCAGGGTGGAATTGGATTGCTTCCCCTGGGCGCTAGATGGTCCATGATATTCCCAACAGATACACACACACACTAAAATTCAAAAGGAGATGGAGTAATTATTTGTAGTTCTGTCCCAGTCCCATATTCAGCACCCAGCTTAGGTTAGTTGGACATGGATGGCGCCCAAATGGGGGTCCGCTGAAATGGCCTGATGATTGGATCATTCCACAAGGGACACAGAAGCGATGGTATTCCATTTAAAAACAGATAGACTTTCTGAAAGAGGGTGTTTACACTTTCTTGACCAACCAGCCATCGCAAAGCAAGGCAAATGACCTAGGCGCGATTGAGTCGTTTGCCCAAACTAGTTCAGCACCACTAAACTGATCCTCGCGACGAAAACGGTGCAAAGTCCAAGATGGTCAAGAACTGGCTGAGCCAAATCTCATGGAAGCGTAAGAGTTCAACTTGTCATGCTGCTTTCTGTGACGTGTTGCCCACAAGTCGAGAACTTGTGGTTGCTTGCCTTTGACACTTAAGTTGTGAGTTATGTTGAGCAAAACAAGTGAAACTGGGAGCCGACTTTACAAGTTGAAACATGGTGGGGAGTGGCACCGGGTGTGCTCCTGGTCTTCCCAGCCATTCTGGAACCCTGGCCAAGATTGCAGGCACGGTTGCCTTTTGTTAGCAGTACCTTCGCCTGTTAGATATTTTTGCAAAGAGACATTTGTTGGGGCAGTCCTTTTGCGGCCGCCCAGCAAGAAAGGGTCATGTGCAAAGATGGGTTTTAGATTGCTTATTTGTTCAATGACTAGTGATGGTTCGGGGGGGAACAGTGTCACAGAAACTATTCCAACATTTGATAACATGTCATGTCGTCGTCCTTGTTTGAAATAAGTGGTACTAACAACTATCCTGTGGCAAGGGCTGAGCATTGCCCAAGGCATACTCGTCCGTTCCATGTTCAGGTTGCTCCCAGCACGATGTCAAAACCTCAAGGGTAGTTCCAGGATCTGTGGAGCAACGATTTTCCGGCAAAGCCATGCCCCCGCCCCCCACCCTTCCCTCGGCAGCCTAGGAGGCTGTGGATGAGGCACTGCGCAAGCTGAAGCTTCCCATTTGCGAGGTGCCAATCGAAAACAGACGTGGGGTTGACAGGCGGGCATGCCTCTAATGGTCTTAAACATAAAACTGCTCCCCAAGCTCCTGGACTCATGTTACGGGAATATCATAGTGGCAAACAACCTGTGGTTGTTTGGCCACTCCACTCAGGAAGTGAGAGAAAAAAGACCAAAGGAAACCAATTCAAGGGGCCTCCATTTGGAGACATATCGTGACTGGTCCAGACAGGGATGGGGAAGGTCTTGCGAGCAGCTGGCAAGGCTTTGGGGATGACTTACCCCTTTCAAAGCAATGCAAGGGGCTGAATAGTCATAAGCACTTTGCTCCTATGATCCTGACTGAACTTGAATTTGAAGCACCCCAAAGTCCCATTCAAATACGACCTGTCCAGACGGTAGGAAAGGCCAACGCGCGGCAACCGCAGGTGACGCCGGACTCCACGGAAGCGATCCATTGTAAGACGCTGGCTCTGGTGGGCCTGGGCGATGAGGAGACTGAATGGGATCCATGGCTGGAAGGTTTTTTAGAAAAATGGTTGTGAAACAACGAATCTGTGCTCCTAGGACCTGCGGAATGGCGCAGAGGGAGCGAGCGATAAGAGAGAGAGAGAGAGAGAGAGAAAAAAAAAAGCAAGAGAAAGGAAGACTAAGAGAACCTAACTAATCAAAGGGCACTGGCTGTTTCAGGTGTATTTTTTTCATCGTGCCCTTTAAGTTTTGCGCCAACCAGACGTTCCAACCTGCAATACGGTCTTTTATCGTGCCCTTTGCTGCTGAATTAACCCCCGCCCCTGACTTGGAGTAGATCTTTGTACATTAAGCAGATCGCAGCATCCTTTTTGGCTGACAGTCAAGAGCTCCTCTCCAAATCCAAGCCGCGGTAAGGCCCTCTCCCCTGGCAAACCTGGCTTGCCTTTTGACACCCTTTCCTGCAGCTAAAGGTACGCCTCCCTTCGTGGCTCCTCTTGAAACCCGATGGAAAGGGCCAGACGGGAAGGTGCCCTAGCTTCGAATCACCAATCGGTTGCGGGAAGTTGGGTAGGCAGCTCTATGACACCAACGAATCCCCATTTCACAGGGATTTATCCAATTGGCAAGGTGAAGAGCGCAGCGGTCCTGGAGGACCACTATCCGCTACAAGGGGCCTTCTGGCCAAAAAGAAGCCTTGTTAACTTTATGGAAAGAAGAACTTGGCTGCCCCAAGATTTGTCCGCCGCAGGAGGACAGAAGCCGCCGTGCAGTGGCGGTACTCAGCACTTCGGACCAGAGACCCACCAGTGCTGCCATGGGAGGCCTCCCTTACCACTCCCGGACCCCTCCCAAAATCACGGCGCTTTGTGTTGAAAACAGCCGCTGGCTTTGGGGATGAAAAAGGAGAAAATAGCTCCCTCCCGTAAGGAAATCCATAAGATGCTGTTGAATGCTTACACCGTACACCTGACAGTTTATTGAAATCGCTACGCGATCCGCCGACGCCAGTGGACAGTCCCCTATTAATAACCTGGGATGCTGAGGATGCTGGAAATTCAAGGGATGCAACCACACAACGTACAGGAACAGACCCAATCTTCGCATCCATCACGCAAAATTGACCAAACACAGAAAATACCAGAGATGTCGGGAATGCTGGGAATGCAGCCGGCTAGCCACAAAAAGGTGCAACAAACCAGGTTTTTTTTTCGATATTTCCCAAAATAAACCATCAAAAACAGATACTAGCAACCCCCCTCAAATACCCTAACGATAATGCAAGGGATGTTTCGCAGTAACTGCTCCATACAGGAATTGCAAAAAAACACTCATTTTTGCAAATTTCCACAGTTCCTCTAAGTATCACTGCAGTTGGCCCCAAACCCCTAACAGGCCAATTCCAACATCGCCTGAAACAGCAAAACACCACTAGTATCTGCAACAAAAGAGGCAAACTCATGGCAACAAGATAATCCTGATGATGCTGGGAATGCAGATCCTGCGCTTCCGGGGAACCCCCCTCCCCTGAGGCCTAGGCGAAACGCAGATTTTTAGCACGCAAGACCCAACAACACTGGAGGACAAATACATGGTTTTGGACACCCAGCACAGCATGCCCAAAAAATAACAGTCCCGAAAGCCTTCGGCTTTGATGAGAGATTCTGGGAGAAGACCAAGTTGCAGACTGCCATCTACACGCTCGACTGGCGTCGGCGGATTACCCCCCCCCCCCCCTGGTATTGTGGGGGGGGGGGGGGGCGGGTCTCTGTTTAGTGGTCTTGTTTTGTCTTCCAAGGCATCTTGAATTGAGGGAGTGGGTGGTTGACTACCCAGAGCTCCACTTGAATTGAAGGGGGAATTGCGGCGCATATGACTTTGAAGGCCCATCCTCCGATTCAATGGACAGCATAATCGTGTTCTTCAAGGGGCGGGGTGGTGCTAGGAGTGCAGATTATGGGGACCATCAGTTTGTCGTGTCGCTTCAAAGTAACCCCGCAAAAAGTGGATTTCCGTTTGGTTTCAAAAAGGGTATCCTCAAAAAAAGACCCCAGTTGGTCACAGTGGCCTAAGGTGTTGTTTACCTAAGGTGCCCTTTGCGGATCAGTTGCAAAAAGGGCTTTTGCGTGTGGGAGCAAAGGGGTTTCAGCAACCCTGTATCAACAGTCAAACAAGACTTCTAGTGGAACATGTAGATGGAGCGCTGGGAAATGAAGGGTGCTGACATCAGCCATGGGCAAAAGGAATCGACATGGTGCACCACTACTGTGCCAAGCCGTTTTTCAAGAGGGGGGGGGCGGCTTCCTTTCCCGAAAGGCGGGGCGCCCCAAATCCCCTGGCCAGAAACAAGCGTCCTTCTACCTCGTTGGTTCATTTGTTCAACTCGCTTTTTGGAAAGTACATAGTGACATGCATGTGGCCTTGTTTGTCCTTTTTGCGACGACGGTTCCTTTTTGTGCAAAAAGATATTTGTGACTTTTGAGCCTGGACAAAGTCCTGCACCAGTGAATTCTTCCCGTATTTACCTGGGTCATGATTTTGACGGCGGGTTGTCAAAGTCGAATGGGCTTGTCTCGCTGGTTCTCAGCAGGGAATGAGGGAACGACCCCTTTCACCCATCGCCTATGGCTTCTTTGGAAAATCCTTAGGTTCACTCCCAACACCCGGAAGGTCATTCCCCAGCTATCGCACCAGCAAGTTGAGTGAGTCTTTGGGGGGTAGGCCATTCCCTATCGCCCAGGCAAGTTGAGTCCCTATTTAAGCCCACCACTCGGGGTGACTCTGAGGCACCTCTTCGCAGCTGTCGCTGGTAAAGGCCTCCACGGCTCTTGGCTTCAAGGCGGGCGCTCGGGGCGGACGCGGACGCGGGGGGCATGGGCGAGTCAGAGGGTCCAAACCCCGTGGGTGCCAGGGATGCGATCGAGGCCCACTTGGTTGGAACGATCCTTTCATGGTTGTTGTTGAGAAACATTTTATACATTTTTGTTTATTGTGGTTTACTGCTTGAAATCCAACCACTTAACTGCTGAAATAGGTGTTTTTTTGCTCCCCTTCCAACGTCAACCAAGCTTTGGTGAATCGAGGGTTCCAAACGGTTAAGCATTTGATTCCAGGCCGGAAATCTCTGAGCAAGCGAGACATTTCTGGGATCTATTTGCGGAACCAGGCGGCTGTCAGGACAGTCTGGCTCCACTTGAAAGCCCTTGGCCAACTCATCAGCACCGTGCCGGCTTTCGCAGAGAAAGGGCGAGAATTCGTTGTTTTCGTTCTTTGTATGTTGCACGTACAGGTAGAAGACAAGTACCTGCACCAGCAGCAATCCTGCACCTGGGCGGATGACACCCCATGGAATCATTGGAGACAAACCTACCAACTAACAGTGAACGTTTTCTTGATTTCCTGGGAACTGCCATCCCCCATTCGGCGCATGTTCCCACTCACCACCAAGCTTGAATATTTTGCACCGAACCTCCAACCTCTTTATTGTTTTTGGGTACCCAAGCCCTTGCTTCGAGGTACGCCTGGCGCGGCGACAGCTGCTGCCTGCGCTCTTCGGGTACGAGGCGCTATCCGGCGGCCAAACTTGTCGACTTGGGCGTTTCTGGGGAGTTGGTCCGCGAAGTTTCTGGCAGATTCAGAGAATGCTATCCCTGCTTGGCTGATTGGCTCACTCCCTGAGTTCCGTTTCGGACTTTAGCCACGTTTTGGGTGGAAACAAATTGGTGGCACAGATAAGGTGTGGTTACTTGTTTTGGGCCAATCCTCTCAGGAAGTTTTCGAAAGGAATCGGTCTAAAAGAATCGGCCCAGGTTGAGAAGCTTGCACTGGAGTTTCTCCATACTGGTGAGGTCAAAAATGTCTGTTTCTCGCCGGTCGGTTTTTTCTCAAGATGTGTGTCTTAATTACCCTTTCACATGGGAGATTAGCGGTGCTAGATCTTGGGCCCCTTAAAGTAGTTGCATTCTCAGAATATTTCCTGCGGGTCCCGGTGGTCTTCCGTCAGATTGCCATTTGGAGGGTCCGCTTTCAGACATTCCAGGAACCAGTTGTGCGATGTCATTGTCCTTTGATTGGGAAGGGGTTGCCCTTTCGAATCAACACCCAGCGTAACGGTGCCCTTTTTGCCCTGGCCACTCGGGGGTCTAGCCAATGTATCATATTGTGGATGGACAAAATCAATTGTCCCACCAGTTGGTGGTACAGTAGATGGTTAATCTCGATATTACTTGTATAGTCGTCCGTGTCCGAGGTGGTGCAGACTTTTGTCCATCCACACTGTATTATATCAATATTCATAGAATCCCATTAATTGTTAGTCGTATATTTGTAGAACATATATATATATATATATATATACGCATATGCAAATAGTATGTCAAATCCTTCTAGCTTAACTTGAGCAGCGTCAAACTGTAGAACAATCTTGAGAGCCAACGGTTTATGGGTATTATCATGTGCATTTCACTGGGCTGTTCCAAGACAATCCACAATCCTTCCCTTGGTTTGTGCCATTCCCCCACCCACCCCAGCTAACCCTCTCCTAAAGGCAGGATGATACCAGCCCAGGCTTCTGGACTGTTGCACATGGCATGTTTGTGCATCAGGTGGGCGGCATGGGCTTCTTGACTAAGCTCAGCCGGCCGTGCCAGAGGGGGGGGCTCGGTTTGGTCCCTTAACCTCCATTTATTGCACCTCCAGAAGGCTTCCTTGGACCTTTGACTGTTGCCTCGGGAGCTCCGGGTCACCAGTTTTGCTCGTCCTGAAGAAATTATAGTAGGACCTTTTGAACATGGTTAGATGTTCCATGTGCCAAGGGTCCGTATCTTTTGAGGAGACGGGTGGGGTCTTCACCAACAATCGGCTTCTTAACATGAACGGCGCTTCAAGTTGGTTGCTTGTTGCATGCATTAGTTGCTTTTCAGACGCAAACTGGTGGACGTCCTAGTGATTGCCAGCAGTGGAGCAAGAACGAGCTGTTATTTACAATGCTTTGTTGCTGGCATACTTGCGCTATTTAGAGGAGACACTCGAACATACAACCTCGTTGCGCTCAACTTGCTGTGCTTGAAAATTGTGCACCTTGTGGGTTGAACAGTAGATATATCATGTAGCTAGGGTTCGGGCAAAGATCTGCTTGAACAACGATTTACTGCCCTGCAGATTCCATGGAACCCAAACCACAGCTTGTAGAGGAACCTTCTTTCGGGGCTCTCCCTTTTGGGTCCCATTTTATGTATGTGTTTGAATGTGTTTTCCAACAGGATGAAAAGCTGCTGGCGCCGCAATGCGGAAAAAATTGGCCGCGGACGATGTTTGAGGCAAACCAATTGTCTCGAGCTTGTTTGGGCGTAACACAAATCCACCCATGAAGGTCCCTTGAACAATTCATGGTTTCCGGTTTGGGTGTGAACGGGGAGCCGCCTGTAAAGGCGAGTTTTCCCGTTCATGGAATCATTTGACATGGGTCCCATATGGCAACCAGGATGGAAAAAGGAGCAACCTCTTCGGAATAGAAATCACTCCCCACAGTTTCTTCCTTCAAAGTCAACCAACGAAACAGGGTAGGCAAGTGACTGCAGGGCGTCCATGTTTTGTCTAGCTCGGGTGATGAACTCACCTAAGGCAAGCTCACCCATGACAAGGGTCCTTCTCTTGAACATGAACCGCTCATTTAGGAGTTTGTAGCTGACTAAATCGGTGTGTGCTACAGGGGGGACCTGCCAGCCCAACCCAATGATGGTTCCCATGTCCAAGAACGGGGAAGTAGCTGGCTGGTCTCAGTGACGTAGGGCAAATGCAGCTGCTTCCTTTTGGTGTCTAATGGCTTTTCATCTTGAGAAAATGGATTTTATTGAATCCAACCCCAATGGCTTTTGCACTGCCGAAAGGATGCCCGTGCAAATCGAAGCTCAATGTTACGGACAGAAACCAACTTCCTCCAGTATTATTCTTGCACACAACGCCATTAGTTTAGTCAAAGGTATGGCTTGTCTCTTAGAATTCAGCATCATTTGCAACGACGAGGACCGTTTGGACTGCGCGCCACATGCCCGCTGCTTCTGGACGAGACGCTGCGGGAGAGCCAGGAAGGGGTTTTGGTTTTGCTCGAGCGAGAGCGACACACAAAGCGAGTAATATAAGGTCCTAAATCATTTCAATGTGGGTATGGGGTACTTTAAAGCCGAGATAAACATGTGTGTGATCATTTAGCTAGCCTGTGTGCGCTTCACAGCCATGCCATAGCCCACTAAAAGCTCAACTTTCAGCCAGGGATCAACAAGCCACAAAGCTACATTATGCCACATGTATAGAAGTAAAAGCACACCTCTATCTATATCTATGATGTATTCAGACCACCTTGCCATACTTGGCATCAGTCATTTATATGCACATTAGGGGTACCTGCTACACGAGAGCGTGGTTGGGACATGTCGCTTCTGTCATTGGCGTTTGTGTACGAGCCCAACCACATGCTTCCAGCTACCCCTGGCTTTGCCCCTATTCGGTGCAATCCATTCACGTACCCATCGTCAGGAGCGGAACCCTTTTGTCCAGTCCCCCCTCGCCATTTCGGCGTTGCAGTCAACAACGTAAAGCGGGGCTCCCCCCAGCAATCATGGAAGCTTTCAGGAAGACTGATTTCGTTTGGGGAAGGTCCTGGCTATATTTCCCTTTTCGCTAGTTTTAATCATCAAACTTTGCCAGTTTGAAGCGCGTTTCCAGGACATATAGGGAGCCTTGACGGGTAACCTTTTGTTTTGAGGCAGAGGTCCCAGAGTTCCACCTATGATATCCCCTAACCATACGCTAAGGGGGAGGAGGGGTTCCTTAATTACATTGGTTTGGAGGCGTCCGAAGAGGTTTGTTTTGTTGTTTTTTGGGGGGAGACCCGCCATGATTCAATTATAATTATTGTTTGAACGCAAGGATCCATGGGCCCCTGTAGTGTCCTTCGGCCTCCAGTGCCAGAAATTGGTACCCCACCAATTTGATCAACTGATGTTCCCGGAGGTCCCCACCAAATAGGATGCCGTGGACGAGCCTCCTGCGTTTGGAAGGTCCCTGCATTTCCCTTTTGGGTGGTCTGAAGATCAAAGGTTGGTCGTTGCCCACCAGTTTATTTGGAGCCCAAAACGGGGTTCCACAAAAGGATGTTCCGCCCAATTCGAGGGCTTTCCCGGGGTTCGTGTCACTCTGCGGCGCATCCCCGACTCCCCGGGTGGCCAAACTTCCGGCGCCGGGGCCTCGGCGGAGTTTGGTGTTAGCGAAGCCGGCCTCTCTTGGCAGGCGCGGTGGGAGGTTCTCAGCGGTCGCTTCCAGGGCATTGTCCTTTTTGGCTGTGTTGCTAGAAAAAGAGATGGCGATTCCTGGTGTACCTGGTGGTTTAATCGTCCACCAGGGCCATCTATTCGGTTGTTTTGGTGGGAAAATAGATGGCGATTCCTGGTTGATCTGGTGGTTTAATCATCCACCATGGAAATCCATCGAAATTTCCCCTAAAAGGACACCTATGTTCCAGGGGGTTCTCAGCGACCACAAGCAGCCGCCCCGGTCAGGAGCTGCTGGTGGGCGGCGGCAGCCCAGGTCGAGACCTTTTGGTGCCGCAGGCATCGTATCGTTGCAATGGGCATTTCCAGTCCATTGCAGGCCCAGGCATGGCCACATGGTTTTTACTGGGGAATGGGACAAATCTTGGCCCTTCCCAAATGCTCGGTGGACAGAAGGCTCATGTAATGTCCAAATGGGATTAAACATTAAAAAATGCACGCGTAATAAAGACAAATGGGGGGCCCTAAAAGATCAATAAATGCACCTGGATTAAAGACAAGCACCCGCCACCCGCGCCAAAAAAGAATCAAACGAAAGAGAAAAACAGAGAGAAAGGAGAGGAGAGATAGCCAAGCCAACACCTGGTCCTTGGATCTTTGGTACCTTGTTCCTTAAATCCAAAACTGTCAGCTTTACCAAACCCATGTTTTCTTACATGTCTCTTGTTTAAAACCTGCCCACAATCAAACCCACAAAGGGGGGTAGTACTTCAGCCCCCAACTTGACATTATTTCAGGGGCCCCCGACATTAAGCGATGGTATCCAAAGGACCCCGGGCAACATTCACACCCAAACACACTTGAAGCAAGTCGACCTTGAAGAGCCCCAAAAGTGATCACCTTTGGCTCCAAAAGCCTCAAGGTGCCTATGATTGCCGCAGAGTATTGAGCTGGGAAGTGGTCCTTTTCCTCAAGGCAGTGCCCAAGAACTCAGCCGATTCATTCAGGGCTCCTTAAAAGAAAAATTTTGCCCATTCGAGACATGGCTTTTTCCACCAAAATAAAGGGAAACCACAATTTACAAGGCAATGTTCAGGAGTATAGTGTAAGGATCCCTGTTCATTTGAAGTTAGATCCATCCGAACACGAACCTGATCAGCCTTGGCATTCTGCAATGCTCGGGCACTGGGTCGATTGTTTTGAAGGATGGAGCGGCCTGCCATTGATAAGGAGTAGTCAAACGGTGGCTTCGGATGCAAGACGGCTGACCGCCAATGAACAGCGAAACGTCGTTGGCGAGCCTTCAAGCCTTTGGCATGAACCATGTATTACTCCGAGTGAGCCCTCCAAGCAATAAGCGAACGCAAAATCCCTTCGGCCTCTGTAGAAAGGGGTCTACAAGTTGGCGGATGGAGATTGCAGTGCCGCCTATTGAACCTTTATTGCCAACGTTGGTAGAAGAAAGCATCAGCAGGTTGTTGGGCGATGCTCAAGTGTCCCTCTAAGAAGCGTTTTTTCCGGGCTCCGTGGTGAAGGTGTAGGATGTGCCTTTCAACAATCAACCGCGTGTTGATTCGCCATGGGAATCTACTTGGCAAGTGTCAGGTGCCCTTTCAGTGCGACCATGTTTACAGAACGTGGGCAACCACTAGGCACATTTATTTGCGTTGCCGCGCTCACCAGGGGGGAAAACGGGCTCTGCACAGCTTAAGCTCATTGCATGTACGCCGGCCGAGCTTCAGACCTTTGCGCGCACGGCGCGCAAAGACGCGCCTGCATCCCCAAAATGACTGGATGTGCTTTTGTTTCTTCTTCTTTTTTAAACAGGGACCCCTAAATGTGTTGCCTGGTTGACTTCACGTATGTGCAGAAAGCTGACAAGCACAAGCGCTATCACAAGCGCTGCATCATTACGATCAACATTCCAAGAGGTTGTCCACTCCCAAACCACTGCCCCCAACGAGAAATTGGGTAAATGGCCTTCAGTGCCAATCTAAGAAACCACTCCCATCTTGAAGCCCGGACCTTTCCTCACAGCACTCAGCCATGCAGCCCCCCGCTGAGAGTGGGCCTGCCACACTTCGACTCGCACCCAGAGCCCCAGCTCCCACTTGGTTCCCCTGTTGGGCCTTCAAACCAAGAGCTTAATCCCAGCACGTTGGTGGGGTGGTAAGGGAGAGTCTGGTTGGAATCGTTTGTGTTTTGTTTCACTGTTCCCTTCTTGCTCAACCTGCAGCGTTCTTCTTATTTTTGTTGCCTTTTGGCATCCACTTGGCCCCTCCCCTCGCACGTCCGCCTTCCTCTACCCCCGCTTTGCCTGCCGCGCGGCGGGAAGCTTCGGCTTCCCGCGCGCGCCATGGAGAGGGATGGCAAGGTGGACGTGGCCAGCGCCGACGCGGCGCAGCGCTTGCGTGGCAAAGTGATGGCCGGGCTCAGCTGCAAGGCCTACGGGGCGCGCAGGGCTGGGGCCGGCATTCGCGGAATTTTTGTTGGGGGGGGATGTGTGGGGTGGATACTTGGTGGCAAGTAGCTTCTTGAGTGTACGCGATTTTGGAGGTTTGGGAAAGGAAGGGGGTTGCAGATGGATTCAAGTTGATAGTACAACCTTGTCGTCATGAGTCATGTGTGCTTGACTATCTCATACTTACATAAAATGAGTAGCGCTATGCCATCTACTTTCACCGTTGTGTATGGCGTATAATGGTATGGCGCTAGGCGACGTGAAAGTGCAAAAATGTACGGGGTTCCCTCCCAGTGTAGGATTCGAGGACCTATCCAGAAAGAGCGGACAAAAGGACCACCTCCTCCGGGAAACACACATTATAAGGGCCCTAATTTCCAAGGACCCCCAAAAACCATTGCGAAGCACATCAATTTGCACAAGCAGGGCCTAGCAATCAAGGAAGGCATGAGCATCAGCCACGGCCAACATATGGCCAACATACTCCATGCGTTTACCTGGGGATTAGTTTAGTCCCCCCTGGTTTGACCAAACAAATGCGGCCCCGCAGGATTCGAGGTGCGACACGCACGTCCCAGCTTTCTCGGGCTCTGCGATCGAAATCGGCACATTTTCGTGAAAGTGTTAGCTGCCCGCTAGCTGCTTGTGTGGAGCCTCGTGGTGTAGAACGGCCCACATGGATCAACACACTGTTGCCCAATCCTGGGTTCCGAGAGGCTGCAGAATCCAGGCTTCGAAGACAATGTTGGCAAAAGCATTTGCCCCCCTTTAACGGGAGCCGGTTTGCTCTCATGCCAAGCTTCAGTGGGTTTTTGAGAGCACACGATCGGGCTTCTGGTTGTGGAAGGGTGTGTTTTTTCCCTGCAAAGTGAAGCAGCCAAGGAGCCCCATTCAAAACACATCCTCCAATCATTATTGTTGCATTTGCCTCGGGCATTTGATGCCAATCTTCCATTGTTCCCTCTAGACAAGTCAGCCGGTGCCTATTGAATACCAATTGGCTTCCCTCCGAGCACATCCACAAGGGGGTCGCCGGCACCTTGTGGCAGTCCAATGAATGTGGCCATGGGTCAAAAGCCGTACCCCAGTGAACATCCCAATCCCCACTAACATAGACTAAAATGGGTGGTGCACCTACCCCAAAATGGAACCATTGGTTTTGACCCACAGCCATGTGTACGCATGATGCGTTGATACTATGTGTATACAGCCGCGTATTGAGCCCATCCTTCTTCTCCAGCCTGGCCACAGGAAGCTGAGTGGCTGCTGGATAGCAACTTCCGAGCCAATGACGAGGCCCCACGCAAATAGTCGTCCGCTCAAATGGTTGGTTTCTATTGGTTTGCCCTGGACTGCCAACCAGCAGGGGGTCCACCATCTTGGTATCGGGTGCAGATTGGGGGTTCCCATCAAATTTGGGGTCCCTCAAAGGTGGGGTTTACAAGCACCTAGCTGTTGAGTCTGGTCCAGTGTGACTGTTTGAAGGGGGTTCTGATGCTGCGGCCCGAAACCAGTGGTGTGACGTGGGCTCCCTGTTGCAAACGCCTGAGGGCGAAGAGACTCCCCAGCTTTTTGAGCAGGGAACTTGACAGACCGCCACAGAGTTTTTCCCGAGGGCCTGGCAGTGAGGAGCAAAATTTTCAGGGTTTCGGGGGGGGGGGGGGTGGTTTTACATGGCTGGACCTCCAGGTTGTTTTTCGGGGCTGTAGGCTCAGAACCTCAGAAGGCCATCCCAAGCAAGGAGAACCTCATGGTGTCATACAGCCCCACGTCACTTTCAACGTGGAAGTATATAAGTCTCATCTTTTTTTAGCACTCGTTTTGCGCATCAGTTGCACCCATGTCGCAACAGGGGATGTAGTTGGGCAAATTGCTGCAATTCACCCCTGGCCAAGGAATTCCCAAGTCAGGATCCTTTGTCATGGGGGTCACACAGCCGTGAGTTGGATACCAGGTTTGGAAGCTTACATTACATGAAGCTCCGACGCCTTGCATCATATTTGTTACATACATCTTTTGGGTTACTCCTTATTCACGGAGCTGGCCCTTTCTGAACGGGTTCCTGAAAGGGGATGATGCATTAGGACTGGCCAAGCCTTCCATGCTTCCAGAGGCAAAGGGTTTCTTCCAGGGAGGCACCCTTTTACCGGTATGTCTCTTTGTGGTGTGAATTCCTAATTGGGTGTGTGGTTTCGAGGTACCCTTTTGACCTTGGTTTGAAGGGAACCAAAAGGAAAACCACTATGTTTGGAGTCCACCTATTTTGACACCTATTCACAAATTGGAATGGACCCTCAAAAGTGTTCCCTTGAAACTGCCTAGTTTGCCGGATGAAATGGGGCAATTGTCACTTTCCGAGGACTAGTGACTCGGAGAAATATCCAAGGGAACAGCACCTAGGCTGACTATTTCCTTCCAAGTTCTGGACATTTGGAGCCGCTTCCCCCACCCCCCAGCTGAGGGTTATCAGTGGGTTTCTCTGAGCGTAATTTGGTCGGGAAAAAATGATTCCCATGTTTCTGTCCTAAGTTCTGGCCTTGTATTCCCATGGTTGACCCCTGTTTTTGTTCAGACCCTTTTCAGTAGTCGTTATTCTGCCCCCCCACATTGGAGCCCCCAAAGCCGGGTCCAGCAACTCGGGACCCGGGGGCCCTCACCCCAGCAGGTCTGCAGCGCCTTGCGCCTGGCCTGGGACTGCGCGGTGCGACTCGAGGTGCCCCGCAAAAACGTGGCCGGGCGCAGGGCGCAGGAGGAGCGCGTCTCCGGGTGACGCCTTGGGAAAAAACAAAAAGGAACGTAGAGTTTGGGTGACATCGTGGAAGGTGGGCAAGGTGCGTCCCTTGAGCCTAGGGTGAAAGAAGTATCGTCAAATCGAAGT